TTATTTTCCCGTCTCTCGATAACGAGCTAACGCGCATTTAGAATATATTCGTTTAGGTACTACCTACTTACACTCAGTTCCCTTCCGGATACTGAGATAATATATTCGTTTAGCTCTCTCCCGTCCTCTGTGCTCGACTCGACTCACTAGAGGTTATGAGCCCTGCGCCGGCCATGGAATCTACGCTCCCCGGTACCAACTCTGCCCTATTCAACATCCCAAAGCTCACCGATGATGGGAGCAATTGGATAACCTACAAGGAACGAATGTTGACGGCCATAGGTGCCCGAGGTCTGATGCGATTTGTCGACGGTCGTGCGATAAAGCCCAAACCATTCGCTATTGACCCAGCGACGAGCACCCCAAAGAAGCCTGATGGCTCTATGCCCACACAGACGGAGATCGAAGAGTTAGATACAAAAATAGACGAGTACTACCAGAAGAACTCACTGGTTAAACAACATATCTTCAGTACCGTCACGGACCAGCTCCTACTCCGCGTACAGAAGCTCGAGGAGGCGTCCATCATCTGGGCTGAGGTCTGCCGCATCCATGAAGGCAAGACCGAATTGGTGCAGATAGATCTGCGCAGGCGTCTACATGAGACCAGGTGTGACGAAGGAGCTGATGTGAAAGCTCACTTTTCAGAGCTGTTAAGGCTCAGAGAGTCCTTAGCAGGGATGGGGGCAGCATTGGACGATCGAGACTTCCAGGCTATTATCCTAGGTTCCCTCCCTGAATCATATCGACCTCTACTATCGTCAATTAACGCTGCGTCCAAAATCGCGAAGAAACCACTCACCCCTTACGAGCTTATCAGCGTAGTCAGCGAGGAGTTTGAGCACCGCCAGATCACCGACCGTCGTAGCACAAAGAAAGGCGCATCTAGCGCATTCTCTGCCAAAACAGGCCAAGCCAAGGGCAAGAGCCCGGCGAACAAGAGCGAACCTAACCCCGATATCACGTGTTTCAACTGTGAAAGAAAAGGGCATTACAAAACCGATTGTTGGAGGCCTGGAGGAGGCAAGGAGGGTCACGGTCCTAATCAAAAGTCGAGGAGAGGAGGACGCAGTCAAAAGCATTCTGCGAACGCTGCCACTGATGAACCCCCCGATTCCTCCGAGAACTTTGCCTTCGCTTCGTCGGACTTAGCGAGCGTCGCAGAACAGCTGAACGTACCGAAGGAACGTCGAGGAGCCATAATCGACTCCGGGGCAAGTGCTCATTTCTGCCCGGATCGAACGAAGTTCGAGAATTTTGTATCCATCCAGCCGCAAGATATACACACGGCTGATGGAACAAAAGTGAGTGCTGTTGGGAGAGGGGACATCAAGTTAGAGTTTCCGTTGGGAGAAAAACGCACTGTTGTTACTCTCCGCGACGCTCTATACGCCCCCCAGATGGCCTTCACGTTGGTCTCAACGAACCGTATCACAGCTGCTGGGCTAGCTGTCCATTTTGAAGGTACCATGTGCCGGATTCTTTCCCCAGGGCCTAAACGCCGCGTGATCGCCGAAATTCCTCAGGTCGAAGGACTGTACACAGTCCTTGCACGTCAGACCCACCGGGCGAATCTAGCCAATGCAAAACTCACCGTATGTGAATTGCACAGGCGGCTGGGACATGTGTCCCAGCATGCTGTCCTGGAGGCGTTAAAGAGAGGCCTGGTCACCGGTATCGAGGTGGACACCACATCCAAACCAGAATTCTGCGAAGCCTGTACCAAGGCTAAAGCTACACGTCACCCGTTCCCAAAGGAGAGTGGGACCCGCGCCGAAAAGTATGGTGACGTCATTCACACCGACTTGTGGGGCCCCGCACGAGTGCAGAGTCTAGGAGGCTGCCTGTATTACATGAGCTTCACTGATGACTACAGCCGTCAGACGGTTGTACACTTCCTCAAGGACAAAAGCCAGGCACTTACCTCCTACAAGCAGTATGAGGCCTGGCTAACTCGCCAAAACGATGGTGCGCGCATTAAGACCTTGCGCTCTGATAGAGGGGGCGAGTATTTGAGCGAGGAGTTCGATAAGCACCTGCGAACGCAGGGCATCGAGAGGCAGCTGATGGTGCACGACTCTCCTCAGCAAAACGGTGTCGCCGAGCGCCTGAACCGGACACTTGTCGATCATGCACGCGCAATGCTCTTGGCGCGAAACTTACCCAAGTTCCTATGGGGAGAGGCGATCAGCTACGCGACTTGGCTCAAGAATCGCTTACCTTCGCGGGCGACCCCCGGGCACACGCCATACGAACTGGTGACGGGACAACGTCCTGGCCTTGAGCTTGCCCACGAGTTTGGCACCCCGGTGTTTGTCCACCTTCAGGGTACCGGGAAGTTAGATGCTAGGGCGGAGGAGGCCGTGTTTGTTGGTGTTGACCACCAGAGCAAGGCCTACCGGATCTATTGGCCCCAGAGGAGGAAGGTTTCAGTGGAGAGGAATGTGGTGTTCGTGCCAAAAGACACATCGGTGGCGACGGACGTACCGGACGAGGGGGAGTCACACCCATCAGCAGCAACAAAAGGTCCCCAAGCTGCAAGTACCGTCCAGAACGCCTTGCCCCCCGCACCTTCTACTCCTCCTATGCCACCCAGAATCCTTCTACCGCCACCAGCGCCTCGCCCAACTCGTGTAACCTACCCACCAGGGTACTACGCTGCATTGAACAACGGCGAATTAGCGACTCTAGCTGCTGAAGCGGAGCCTGAGCCGGCAACAGAGGAACCGGACGAACGACTCACCCAGCTATACGCCCTGGCCGCAGTAGAACCAGAACCGTCACTCCAACAAGCCCTCAATGGACCAGACGCTGAAGAGTGGAAAGAAGCTATAGGGTATGAGTTGAGTCAATTGGAGAAGTTGGGCACGTGGGAACTTGTAGACGCACTGGCAGGTGTGAACCTCATCCCATGTCACTATGTCTTGGCGACCAAACGCGGTCCGGACGGCGAGAAATTGAAACTACGTGCTCGGTTAGTAGCTAACGGTCGACGTCAGCAGTATGGGATCGACTACTACGACACATTCGCCCCAACCTCCAACATGTCCACGATACGTACCGTTCTCACTAAGGCGGCAGAGTTAGGCTGGGAGATACACCAGGTAGACATCAAGAGCGCTTACCTATATGCAGACGTCAAAGAAGACATATATATGCGAGCGCCACCTGGATACCTCAAAGAGGGAGATGAGAAGAAAGTCCTTAAGCTGAAAAGAAGCTTACCGGGTTTGAAGCAGGCAGGGTTCGAGTGGTCTGAGGAACTGGCTGGAGTATTCTCCAAACTCGGCTTTACGTGCTCACAGGTAGATCAGGCCGTTTATTTCAAGCGCGCCTCTAGCGAACACATGGTCATTACTGTGTCGGTCGACGACATGGCCGTGACCGCGAACCACCTCTCCCACATCCACCGTTTCAAGACACAACTCCGCGACTTCTTTGAGATCTCTGACCTTGGAGAGCTTAAATGGCTCCTGGGTCTTAAGGTCACGCGTAATCGGGTTACCAGGACCATTACCTTGTCGCAGAAGGCGTACGTCAATACTATCCTTGAGTGCTTTAATCTAACCGAGGCAAAAACTGCCCCAACGCCTATGGATACCGGTACCATCCTATCTGATGGACAGGCCCCTGCTACGCTTGCCCAGATTGAGGCAATGCGGAACGTCCCGTACCAGAGAGCCATAGGCTCCCTGATGTACGCAGCTACCAGCACCCGCCCCGATATCGCGTACTCCCTCGCAACCCTTTCGCAATTCATGCGCAACCCTGGAATCCCTCATTGGGAGGCCACGAAACGAGCCTTACGGTACCTTAAGGGCACCTGTGACTATGGACTCACGCTCGGCGGCTCTGATACGGGCCTTGAAGCTTATGTTGACGCGGATTGGGCCTCACAGGCCCATCGCCACTCCGTGTCCGGGTATATTGTGCTGTTGAACGGAGGCCCTGTATCATGGAGCTCCCGCAAGCAACCCCTTATTGCCTTATCTACCGCAGAAGCGGAATACATCGCTCTAACGACTCTAGCGCGCGAGATCCTGTACCTACAGTTGCTCATTGGAGAGCTGTATGGACCCCTCACTATCCCTACCCCGTTGTATTGCGACAACCAGTCAGCAATCGCACTCGCTACGAATAATAAATTCCATTCCCGGACCAAGCACATCGACTTAAGGTACCATTTTATTAGGTCCCATATGAAGGTTGGTACCTTCGACCTCATCTACTGTCCTACCGAGGAGAATGTCGCGGATGCCTTCACTAAAGCGTTGCCCCGACCTCGCCTGGAGAAGCTGAGAGGGATGATGAAGGTGGAATGCGCTCGAGGGGGAGTGTTAGAATCAGTGCCGTCGGGTACGTCGGGATCAGTACGAGCGCATCCGTTGTGACATCGGCCGAGTATGCTCCTCCGAATGTCTTAAAGCAATATCCTTGTTTTTCTTTCCTATTCTACCCGTACTTAAAAGCTACACCCAAGCAGTAGACATCTCAGTTCCCTTCCGGATACTGAGATGTACGTTCTATTATTTTCCCGTCTCTCGATAACGAGCTAACGCGCATTTAGAATATATTCGTTTAGGTACTACCTACTTACACTCAGTTCCCTTCCGGATACTGAGATAATATATTCGTTTAGCTCTCTCCCGTCCTCTGTGCTCGACTCGACTCACTAGATTGCTGGTTACGGCTGAGCGTTGGTACTGTCTCCATATCTAATGCAGTATGTGGACTGAATAAGATCTGCGACGAATATATATCGCGTATCGCGACAACGGAACAAAAGAATGATCGTCGAAGATGGCCCCTTGGATCTGGCCATGACGATAAGCGGTCCACGACCTCATTTTCAGAGAGACCATTGAACACAAAGAGGTAGTGTCGCAGAGGTTGAACTGATATCTCTCCCTCATATATATTGACCTTGACAACGAGTCGGTCCTGATCTTCTGGATACTTGCATCGCGCAGCGGCTACCTGGTCCTGAATATCCGACCACCTGCACAAGACCATGTGAGCTTCTATGCCAGATAGCAGACAGAGACTACGTTTCACGTAGTGCGATGTCGATGAACCTGGACAGATTGTCAATGAAAATGATGTGAGCCGAATAATCGAAGACTTGCCAACAGCTGCCTTCAAAAATTTGCAGCTCCATTTGTGATGACTATACCAGGAATCACGCTGGCATCGCTTTGAGCAGTACCGCACAACCTGACATTCCGAGCATTGCCTAAGCTGAGTATCTTCTGTGGTATCACCACAGTAACACTGTTCTTTGGGTAAGTTGACCTGCAGGAACGAAACAACAAAGTCAGTTACTGACTCGTAGAATCCAGCCCTTTTTATCAGGTGATGGCCGCCTTATCTTTTCCTCCCTGGACTTGAGACTGGCATATAATCGTATCTTCGTCTCAACTGCAGACCAACGCTTTCGGATGGTTTCGTCTGGTAACACATCTGGTCCAAGAGCATTAGACCAGGCATCCACACGTTTGTACGCGTAGGTCAAGATTTTGTCGTAGACGAGGAAAATGTCTAAGATCACAAGAAAACTTTTCTTGTAATCACGAAGATCCACCTCCACAGCGGGTCCTTGGATGCCCATGGCTATTTCGAAGGCATATGAGTGAAGAGCTTGATGTAACACTGGGACAGTGTTATTCGCACGGAAAAGGAGAACAACGAGGTACACGAAACTCTGGACGAGTGTGGATTTGCCAAACGTGGGATCCAGGCTCTCTCCAGAAGAAAAAAGAAGTTGGATAATGCGACAAATCAAGAAAATCTTTTTAACAGATAGTCGTAGGATGAATTCTTCCCGCATTGCGGCGCTGTGCTTGCTTAGTTCGATAATGACAATAACGCAATTTGAAAACGTGTGTAAGCATGCCGAGTGATGTTGGAAGGCTTGTGACTTTATTAGGGTCCTGGGCTATTAATCCCATGTGCATGACATATTCCAGAGCTGTAGAAACGACCGTGCCAATGTCACCTGACACTTCGAGCACGGTTGTCATAAAGGCTTTGTAGCTCGTGCAGTCTGAAAACACCAATGGGATGACAATTTCAAGAGAAGCGATTTGAGGGCCATAGAGGGATTGATTACACGGATGCTGGGGAATGATCAGCACATCCTCGTCTTTTATTTTGAGGGCCAGTAACCATAACTCTACGAGCAGATGGTAAATGGAGGGTGTGGTGATCAATGCTGTGTCCCCGCCGCTTGTGATCATGTTATTGGCATGCTGCAGAATACAGCCAACCACGTCGACGGCTAGCCTCCTGCTAATTGGCCTATAGTTGGCTCTGCGCATGATAAACTGGCTATGAAAGAAGACAAGCCAGGGAGTAACACGGTTCCAGACAGAAAACAGATATTTTTCTGGCTCAGTGCCAGGACACATGTTAAATGTTTTCATGATCCCAACAAGTGACCACTTGGCGAGTTCAATATCGGTGATAGCGGCTGGAGTAGACTTTTCAGGAATGCAATCTGGGTCGAGGTGTATGTAGAACACCGGCTGCAGCATACATAGCTCGGGTGTGGAGCAGTCTGTAAGTCGATCACAGAGCTGCTCAAAGTCAGCTACCGAACGATTTGACACTCCCCGCACCAGCTTCTGTATAATATATTGATCAGTATGCAGCGATAACAAACTAGTAAGGATAGATCGCAAAACGCTCGCCTGTATATCCTGGGGCAGCTGTGACAGTAGTATCGCTGAGATCATTCTCAGTAGAAATGGGGGGTGACAGGTGGTGACTGAGTCTCTCGTAGGTAAACCAAATCGAAGGACTTAAGATCTAATGCGGCAATCGTCGGCCCTCGAGGCCTCATGTTCATACGTTGGATTGGATATGCCACTTAGTGAGCGAAGCGGTTAATTATTATCGAAAAGCTTAAGTGTAAACAAGTATAAATAGTGTTTGCGTCCGCGCCTTCATGAAAGGTATTTACACGGCCACCCCAAACCATACTACAGACGATAGATGAAGCTAAGCTTATGACAGACTACATAGCCCTAATTTGATTGTACTACATATACAGTGCGTGAGGGGTAAACAGAGCGACTGGAGAAAGCAATGAACGTTAACATTCATACCAGAATCAGAAGTGATGCGACTCGATACAGCAGATCAAAGAACAAACGCAAGCGAGACCCGCCGAAAAATGTACAGTACTAATTCACACATCCTGAACGTTACCGCTGAACGTTTGCGGCACTATCTCCATATCTAATGCAATACACGGACTGAATAAAATTTGCCGTGCCGCATATCGATCGTGTATCGTGATAACCGAACAAAGGAATAGTCCTTGAAGTTGGCCCCTCGAATCTGGCCAAGACGATAAGCGGTCCACGACCTCATTTTCAGAGAGGCCATCGAACAGGAAGAGGTAGTTTCGAAGAGGTCGAACTGATTCTTCGTTCTTATCAAGAGCTAGCTCGACCACGAGTCGTTCCCGATCTTCCGGATATTCATACCGTGCAGCGACGACCAATCTCAGAATATTGTCCCACTTGCGCTGCTTATGGCCAACTTCTAGAGCGGCTAGCAGACGCAGACTACGTTTCACGTGGTGTGGTATCGATGAGCCTGGGTACATTGTCAGTGGAAATGATACGCATATCTTAACATCGAAAAGACTCGCCGACAGCTGCCTTTAAAAATTCACAGCTCACCCTATGGTGACTATACCAGGAATTACGCTGGCATCGCTTTGAGCAGTACCGTACAACCTGACATCCCGCACATTGCCTGAGACGAATGTCTTCCGCAGTACTACCACAGTGACACTGGTGGTTCTGAGTCGACGAATCAGCAGGAACAAAGCTGAAGCAATGAAGTCTATGACTGACTTGTAGAACCCAGCCCTTTTTACTTAGTGATGGCCACACTATCATTTCTGCCCTGGACCTAAGTATCCCATATGATCGTATTTTCTGCTCTACTTCGGACCAGACATCCCAGAGGTGTTTGTTTTGTCTCACGATTGGTCCCAGATCATCAGACCAGGTGTCCACATGTTCAGAGACGTAGGACAAGATTTTGTCGTGAAGAGTGTAATCGATTAAGATCTTAAGAAAAGCCTCATTGGCCATATGAGGTTTCCCCGGTCCCACCATCTCCACTGACAGGTGTTCAGAAGGACTTATGTGTACCATGGTCTCGACGGCATGTGCGCAAAGGGCTTGATGGATCACTGAAACAGGGTCGTCGGCATTTTCAAGGAGAAGGCGGAGGTACGGAATAGTTGAGCGGAGGGTCCCCGTCATGCTCCCTCTGCCCGGAGGAAGAGACTGGAGAACACGGAGAGCTGAGAAAACCTCTTTGACGGACTGCCGGAGGATGTATGCTTCCCGCATCGCAGCATCGTGCATGCTCGTCGATAAGATAATTGCAACACAGCACGAAAACATCGATACAACCATCCTGAGCTTGAAAGTGTTGGAGGCTATATTGGGGTCCTTAGCCATCGACCGTATGTTTTTGACATACTTCAGAGCTGCAGAGGCGACGGCGTCGACGCCACCTGACACTTCTGCTAGTATGGCCAAAAATGATTTGTCGCAAATACATTCTGAAATCACAAAGGTGCCGAAAATGCGAAAAGAAGTGGTGCGAGCGCCTGCCTGCGATGACAAGCACACTACATCTCTGTCTTTGGTGTTCACGGCTAACAACCACAACTCCGCGATCGGGCGATAAAGGACGGGAGTGCTAAGCACTGATATTTCGGTGGGGTCGCCCTCGATGGCAGACACATGAAATAGTAAGCTAGTGACAAGCCTGATGGCAGCCATCTTGTCGACGGGTCGATAGTTGGCTCTGCACATAATGAATTGGTCATGAAAGAAGACAAGCCATGGAACAACACGGTTCCAGGCGGAAATGAGATGATGCTTTTCCGAACCTGCCGAGTCTGAGTCGATGCCAGAACCATCGGTATGCAAAGTTGCAACGATCGCGAGAAGTGACTGGTAGACGAGCTCGATATCAGTGGTAGCGGCTGGGGTCGACTGTGCAGGAATGCGGTCTGTGTCGAGATACACGTAGAACACTGGCTGCAGGATATATAGCTCAGATGTGGAGCAATCTGGAAGTCGATTGCACAGCTTCTTAAAGTCTGCAACCGAACGATTCAACACTCTTCGGACCAGCCTCTGAGTGACATATCGGTTACGGCGACAAACTAAGGACTGATTGCAAAACACACCTGCACATCATGGGGCAGCTGTGACAGTAGTGTTGCTGAGATCATTCTCGGTAAAATCGCAATGGGTTTATGATCGATTGATCGCTAAACTGATTTACTGAGGGGCTGCTGACTCAGACTGAGTCTGCCAAATATAGAAGGTTGATTGATTGATCTTGGTTCGTTCGATCGTTCCTCTTCATGATGTTTACAGAAACTGGGTAGTACCGACTTTCCCGCCCATGCGATACATCCTAGAGCGCTTTTCCTTGCAAGCTTCACAAGCGCTTCCTGATATACCCAATGAGAATATGCAAACTGTTGTGAACCATTCCAACCCTCCTGAATAAGCTGGACCGGCTCAAATACTCGCGAACAGACCATTCTCAAGGTTGAAGACCAACTTCTGTCGGGTATAGCGATCCATGAATGACATGAATAGTGCAATAAATGCATTTAAAAGCCAGGGAAGATGCCATGAGCACAAGACCGAGGCATTCTGGATAGTGTGTTTGAACGATGTCGAGTGTTGTGCAGCACAAGCCAAATGACGGGTTCCTGGTATTGCCTGCATAATCCACTGACAACGCAAGGGTTCTACATAGTGCTGAGAGATAAGTTTTGAAAGAAATGTGATGCGTAGAAGGGAACTTACTTGACAGCTGGACCCATAAGGTCAAAAGCGTGTTCGGCCATCTAGACAATGAGCTGGATCGTGCGGAGGGCACCCACTTTTGAGGGGCTCACATAAATGGCAGGAGTGAAGTCCCTTGGGGTCGTAGACTCGGACATGATCTTGTCTTGTCATAAGCTTCATCTATCGTCTATAGTAGGGTTTGGGATGTAAATACCTTTGCCCGACTGATGCAAACGCTATTTATACCCGTCTAATGTTGCAGGTTTTTATTTATACTCTCGACCTCCAGTCGGCTTTCTATTCTGAATGTGAACCTCGGTAAGGCGATATCATTGATAAGCGTTTCGTGGCGTAGTATGAATCTAGCATATAAACATGAAACCTTGAAACTTGAGGGTCGATGGGACGTCGGCAGGAATGACACAACAAAGTTTATTACTCGTAGATTCAACCCTTTTCATCAGGTGATAGTCGTCTTATCAGTTCCTCCCTAGACTTGAGACTGGCATATAATCGCATCGTCATCTTCGTCTCGACCGCGGACCAGCGCTCCTAGATGGTTTTGTCTTGTATTGCGATTGGTTCGACAGCACCAGGAGTCCACGTGTTGCCACGCATAGGTCAAGCCTTTGTCCTGAATGAGGCTCAGGTAATTGTACAATCTCATGAAAATACTTACCTATGCAGATTAAACCTCCGGGGGTCTCGAAGGACCCAGCGCTGTTTCAAAGGCACATGAGCGGAGAACTTGGCAGTAATGTAGCACTTGTAGCACCAAGATGGTGTTAGTGTCGATTGTCAGCGGCATGGCCAAGGAAAGCCGAGTCAGCGAGGTACTACCTCAAAACCCCAGAAGAGTGACGGTTTGAGTCTCCGCTCCATAATCCCTGCAGAAGACAGAGGATGACACGGGAGGCTGAGAAATTTTATTTGATGGACTGTCGGATGTATTCTTCCCGCATTGCGATGCTTTTACTCATTTCCCGACCTGCATTGCATCATCTTTGAAACATTTGATGCATAACAAAAATAACGGCTTGCAGAACAGGCGCCCAAGTCTGAGTCTTTAGTTTCTGTTCTGATGGCATCAGAATGATATTGCAGCCTGGATTGTATGGATATAAGGACAACGAGACCAGGGACATGGCGGACATGGACGAGCTGAAATTGAAATTGACCAAACGGAGATATATACTTATCTGAGAAATTTGGTTCGAATTCGCTATACTTTTCGCATAATATTCATCGGGTTGGCCCTGTACCCGCTAGCACTTGGCAGGCAACCTTCACAGCACTTGGATAGACTGAAACCTTGAAGTTGGTGCCAGGTGCCTGCATCCCCTCTCGGATGAATTTCCGAGTCTCTCTTACGTCGAGCCCACCATATACCACCGCTGGCGTTCGCGGTAGAGGTAGCAGTCTACGCACCACTATCACATCCTTCGTGCATTCACTCAGAGCCACTCTTGGCTGGCCACACGGTAGAGAAGACACCGGAACGTAGAATGTCAGACCCCAGGAATTACTAGAAGGCGGTACTGTGTAGTATCGATGATTACGAACAGCCTTGACAGGTTCATGTCATTGTCTAACGCTATATAGTGATGATTCCCGCCAAGTCAGTGTTATCTAGGATCCAATTTCCCCACCTCGAGTCTGCCCCATTTCCCTTTTTCAAGGTATCACTCCCGATTACACCTGCGTCTCTTCTTAACATCTTTCGCTTGTCTTCCTCATTTCTCGAGTATGCACTTCGTTCACTTCTTTACCTGTATTGCTTCTTGTCTCTCGGTTGCTCGTGCTTTCAGTGTGACTGTTGGGACTCCCACTCAATGTGGTCCTCTCAACATTTCATGGACTGGTAAGCGCATATCTAGTACACTTGATACGCTCCCGCTGAATGTTATCGGGGTCATCAGGTGGGCAAGCACCGTTTGAAATACTCTTAGCTCCCGTTCGTCGGCGCTATCGTCTCAAGCGCGTCAATTGTGCACTAACCTTTGTGCTTTCCAGTCTTTGCAAACGTATCAGAATTATACTGTACCAGCATCGGGCTTCAGCAATGGCAAAGGCAATTTTTCAATACTGCAATTGCCATTGCCGACGGGAACTACGTTTCTACTCGTCATGTCTGACGCTACCGGGTTTGGTTCGGGCGGGACGACAAACATATTAACTGTCGGGAGTGCAGTTGGAGAGAACGTTTGCAGCACTGCAGTTTTGTCACCTCCTTACACGTTCCAGTTGGATCCACTTCCGCCGATACAATGCAGGTAAGTTTGGTTCGCCTACTTTTCGTGGCACTGACCTACAACTACTGCAGTCCATTTACCCTTCTGGCTCAAAGTACTGCAGTCCTGCCCATGACTATTGTGGTCAGATCATCACGAATTCTATGAAAATAATCTACTTATCTTGCCACAGCAACTTATTCCTGGCGGACAAGTGACTGTATTCTATTCCAATAACGACAGTTTTACCTCAGTCACAGATGTTGCTGGAGGGACGAACCTCATGTATTTTGTCACCGACTCCTTGGGCAGACAAGGTGGGGCCTCTGGGTTCGAACAGGTGGTAGGGACCGGTAATTTCTCGTGCATAAGCACCACCTCGCCGTCAATCACTGCAGGCATATTATCTACGACTACGACTTCATCTACTTCAAGCAGTTCAGCAAGTAGTTCGACTACAACTGGTACATCAAGCAACGATGTTGCTATTATCGCGGGCACAGTGGGCGGCAGTGCGGTGGTCCTTATAGCATCGGTCATACTCGGCATGTGCTTGTGGCGTAAACGGAGAGCATCTCGCTCTGCGGACGTTCGGTCTCCCACACAAAGCTATCCAGGTCAACTGCAGCGTACAGATCCAAATTACAAAGTCAGCCCTCACAGCGACATTCCGTCGCCATTCCCTTTCCCATCCGAAACACAAACCTACTATGTCCGACCCATTCAACACAGCCTGGGAGCCCAGTCAGATATGACCAATTCGTCCGCCGGCAACTTCGCACTTGGTGCACATGCCTCATCATTCAACCAGACACAATATTCGCGCCAGAGCTCTAACACAGACTCTCCTGTCTACGGGGATGTTCGTTCGACTGTGTCATCCGCTTACAACCGTCAATCACCCCCGTCTTTCGGAAACTTCACTACCAACGATCCTCGCACACCATTCAATCAGGCATTGCATTCACGCCAGGGCTCAAACGCAGACTCTGCTGCGTATGGAGACACTCAAAATTTGGCTATGTCATCTGTTGACAGACGGATGACTACCGTCGCTGAAAGTCCATCACAATTATCACAGGAGGCAGATCCTGTTAGCTACCTTGGTCCACCCATCCAATCTGGATTGCAATCAAGCCCCCTTAATGCGCTTGCCACCAACTTGGCGGCTAGGGACCATCATGCGCCCTTCAATCAGGCACAGCCTTGGCACCAGAGCTCTAACACAGACTTCGCTCCATATGGAGATGCTCAAATGTCGGATGTGGCACCCGTCGAGTATATGGCTGTGGGGGCTCGACCAGCATCACGGAAGACAGTCCCTGTCTACATTACTCCACCCGTCCAACCCGGGATCCAATCAATTGCTACCTCTGCGGACAATGTCACAGTTAAGAACCCCCTCACACCCTTGAATCAGACACAAAATTTCTCTCAGAGCCCTGACACAGACAGCTTAGCTGTGCACGAAGCATCTGGAGGTCAAACTATGGCGTCGGCTAACGCGCAAACTGGCGCTGATAATGTTGTACCAGGCAACAATGATTCGGTTGAACCTCCGCCGCAGTATTCAGATGGTCGGGGAGTACCTGTCTTATAATTTGAGTCTGCGTCATGGCTATGTCCTCACTCTTGAATCTTCGGAAATGGACGGGTATGTCTATTAGCGCGTTCTTTTGCACATGATTTTATTTCGTTCCAGTTTTTCAAGCCTGTCTTCAGTAATGAAGTACAAGGTCTACTTTGATTTGGTCCCTATGTATGACAATCTTTCTCGAGCGTCTTATGATATATATATACTTTAGTCACACACTAGGAAATATGGTCTCATCTCCAAGATATCGATACTGTAGATAATCACGGGTCAATTCGAGCAATGGTTAATCGAAATCTTTCAACTCCCGTGACGACACCTACTAAGTTCCTAACATAATGGTAACTTACTGACGTGAACACCCTGTAATTTTAAGTGGTCTTCAAGCTTCAAGCTTCAATTCACTATGACCATTCTGCGACAGATCCCAAACAAATTTGGATTTACCAGCAAGTTTGTAAAACAGCTCAAGATGTGTGTATAGATTCGGTCTACGTTAGTACGCCGGGAAAGAAAAAACGAATGCTTGGCTGCGACTTCCTCATGACTGAAGTTGGCCATTCTCCGTCAACGCCCCATCAACATCTACATGCGCATCGACCGTTTCGTCTCTGACAGCAACCTTGACGTCCCATTCCTTGATACCAACTTTCCCGCCCAAGCGATGCCACACCACAAACATACTAGAGCGCCTTTCCTCGCATAGCTTTACAAGCGCTTCCCAATATAGGCAATGGGAATACATAAACTGTTGTGAGCCATTCCAACCCTCCTTGATAAGCTGGTCCGGCTCAAATACTCGTGATATGCTGTCGGCATCCCAAGCCTCCGCATCTGCAGTTGTCCTAAACAGACCATTCTCGTTGATGACAGGGTTGAAGACCAATTTCTGCCGGGTATAGGGATCCATGAATGGCATGAGTAGTGCAATAAATGCGTTCAAAAGCCAGGGAAGATGTGCAACGAGCGCAAGGCCGAGGCGTTCTGGATAGTGTGTTTGAATGATGTCGAGCGTCGTGCGACACAAGCTGAATGTCGGGTTCTTGGTGCTGTCTGCATAATCTACTAACAATGCAAGGGTCCTACATGGTGCTGAGATAAGTTCTGAAAGAAATGTGATGCGTAGAAGGGAACTTACTCGACACCTGGACCCATGAGGTCAAAAGCGCGTTCGGCCATCCAGACCATAAGCTGCATTGTGCGGAGCGACTCTTCGGCACCGATTTTTGAGGGGCTCACATAGATCGCAGGTCGTCCGCGAGTATCATAGCCAAAGAGAAACGCTTTTCCGGTAGTCGCCTTTGAATGATTCGCATTAATCGTGAACTTGAAGAACTCGCTCCCTCGTACCTCTGGTTCAACACATTCAGGAGTGATTTTGTCGTAAATCCCAAATTCACGTCTCCACTTGAGCGTATCTTCTAAGCGCTTGATAGTCGTATCTGCGTTCCAGTTGGTAGCACGTAGAAATCTCAGAAGACATTCATATGACTGTTAGTCACCATAAGGCAGGGTAACGCGGGTCAATCGAATGCACGAAATCGAAGAGTGCGATAAGGTACACCGACCAGCCAAAAAATTTCATCCACTGTGAGTGCAGCCTTCTCCTGGTCGACATTCGGAAGCGTATAGTCTACGGCAGTGAAGTGCTTGAGGACACAGTCATATGAAGTCTGGTTCTTCTCGGAAAGTGCTGAAGGTGGTACAATCTCGTGCGAGCGAGTCGGGACTGGGAGTGGGAGGTGAACTGACATCGTAGTCGTTGGATAGAGCTGTTCTGGGGTGTCCTAGTTTCACATTATATATACGTTAGTTATTGTAATCTCCAAGAGCTTTTTTGGGAGTCTTAAACGAACAAGTGGAACGACTTGAAGCAAAAAGAGTACTAGTGACTTGCTGGGCAGATCGGCGGGGTCTTCCTAGTCTTCCTAGACCTGATAAAGAAGGTCGAAGAGAAAAGAACACGCGCCAATTCATTGAAGCTGCCCTTAGAAGTCAAAAGCAGCCATAACTTGGTTTCAAACTATTAAAAGGCTCGGTTTGGGCTCGGTCACCTGTCCTGTGACGTTATTTCCAAGAATCTTACATTATCCATCTTGATCTGTTGCTTCCACAACCGCATGCTGGCGCTCCGCCCAATGCGTCACTCTTGTCTTGCTCCTGGCATTATTTTTTCATGGATATTGCGCAATGCGTACACCGTTTGCTACAGTGACACCTAGTATTACTCCCAATCTCCCACACTTCTCAGCCAAGAAAGTGTCACATAGTACATCGACACGTTTCTAACAATTTCGCAAGCACAGGGTCTTGCAGTCAGGATTGCTTCAAATTGCTTGCGTGAACTACGATAACCATCAAAAGGAGGTATGATCAGGGACTGTTTCGTGGTGTTCATAAAACCCACTGACACAGTCTAATTTGCAAAGTGAGCTCATAATATGAATGTAGGCTAATTATCTTTTCCATTGAAGCTCTATTCTCACTGATTACTTAGTCTCTCCAACACTCTGAACGGCAGTATGCCGATCTGTCACTGACCTCATGCGATGAAGCGTCATAGGATACATCGTGATTCGTCCCTGGAACTCAAATTTTGTTAGTCGTGTAGATGTTTGTGCTGGGACCACTTGATTCTTAGCGTTCAGAGATAGTATTGAGCTAGGCTCCTGAAGGCCTGAGTCCTGGCCGATTTTAACATGGGAACTAGTGGAATGACTTCAATTGCTTTCCAGCATTATTAATGTGCATCCGTCGACTAGCAGTCATGTGGGCTCATGGGATTAATCATGAGACTTTTCGGCTGCTGGGCAGGGAGCTCCTCCGTATACGTTATTTGAATCGGAGTTGCCAGCGTAGCTGGTGTCGTGTTCACTGCCAGAGGCCTCTAGCTGTCGTACGATTGATCCTAATCATAATGTTCAATTAAAAAAATCCAAGGCACGAAGTTCCTGGCCTGGTGTAGCTTAGACGAGGTACGCCAGGGCAGGCTCTAGCACATACCAACTTGTTACTCTGGGAAGTCTGTAAGCGACAGCCCCGGGCATATGTCTTGACATGGAACGCGTGTACATCTTTATCCACCACTCCGGGGTATAATTACATTAGGGTGTCAGTAAAGAAAATGCTACTGCCTAGGGCTGAGGCTGGTACCGTCATTCTCCGTCAATCCCTTTTATAGTCTCGTCTTTGACAGCAACTTTTACATCCCATTCCTTGATACCAACTTTCCCGCCCATGCAATGCCACGCTGCAACCATCTTAGACCGCCTCTCCTCGCATAGCGTCACTAGCGCTTCCCAGTAGACGTCATGAGAATAGACAAACGGCTGGGTGCCGTTCCAACCCTCCTGGATAAGCTGGTCCGGTTCGAATACTCGTGAAGTGTTGTCAGCCTGAGCTTCCCATACTTCAGCATCTGCAGTCGTCCGAAAAACACCATTCTCATTGATGACAGGGTTGAAGACCAGCTTCTGCCGGGTGTAGGGATCCATGAATGCCATGAGTAGTTTAAAAAATGTGTTCAAAAGCCAGGGAAGGTGTGCGATGAGCACAAGCCCGAGGCGTTCTGGATAGTGTGTTTGGACGATGTCCACTATTGTTCGGACCATACCAAATGATGGATTTCTGGTGTTGCCTGCATAATCTGCCAGCGCCGCAAGCGTCCTAGAAAACGCCAAAATAAGTTTTGAAATAATATTATCATGATGTGTAGAAGGGCATTTACTCAACACCTGGCCCCATAAGGTCAACGGCGCGTTCGACCATCCAGATAATGAACTGTATTGTACGGAATGACTCTTCAGCACTTAGCTTCGAGGGGCTCATGCAGATGGCGGGTCGACCGTGAGTATCGCAGCCGAAGATAAACGCTTTGCCATTTCTTGCCTTCGAATCATTCGTATTAAACGTGAACCCCGAAGAACTCGCTCCCTCGTACCTCTGGTTCAACATATTCAGGAGTGATTTTGTCGTAGATTCCAAATTCACGTCTCCATTTGAGCGTATCTTCTAAGCGCTTGATGGCCGCATCTGCGTTCCAGTTGGTAGCACGTAGATATCTCAGGAGACATTCATATGACTGTTTGGGTGTCGATCGTTAATGAAACAGATGCACAAAAATAAAGATTGCAATAAGATGCACCGACCAGCCAAAATTTCTCATCCACTGTTAGTGCAGCACCCTCCTGGTTGATACTCGGAAGCGTATAGTCTGCTGCAGAGAAGTGTTCGAGGACACAGTCATATAAAGTTTGCTCCTTTTCGGGAAGCGTTGAAGGTGGCACTGGCACAGCATCGTGTGAGTTCGTCAGGATGGGGAGTGGGACGCAAATCGACATCGCAGTTGTTGGACAGAGCTATTCTGACGTTATTCTGACGTGTCATGATAGCTTCATATCAAGCCATTATACTCCCGAGCTTTTTCGGGAGCGTCAAGCGGAGCCGAAGCCCGAATTGAGAACGCTAGTGAACGGTCCAACCTATGGGATTTCCATGTACGTACGTCCAAGTCGCCGCATGATCAGGAGTGCGTGCTCAGCGCTCAGCGCTCAAACGGTATCAACTCCCAGAAACCTCAAGGCCGATAAAGATAGCTTACTTTCTGACTTGTCCTGTCGCGTGCATACATTTGCATCCACGGCTCCACGCTCCATCGAAATTTATAGATTTAGTCGAGATTAGCGCGTCAGAAAACAGCAAACAGGCAATAAAGTGTTTACTGTCCCCTCAGGACTGTAACTGGCCATTCTTCACCAGCACATTTTCTGCATCTACCTGCACGTTCATCGTCTCGTCCCTAACGGCAATTTTAACTTCCCACTCCTTAGTACCGACCTTTCCCCCAATACAATGCCACGCCGCAACCATCCTAGACCGCCTCTGCTCACATAGCTTCACTAACGCTTCCCAGTAAACGACATGGGAGTATACAAACGGTTGGGAGCCATTCCAACCCTCCTGCACAAGCTGGTCCGGCTCAAATACCCGTGATTCGCTATTGGCACTCCAGGCTTCAGCATCCACAGCCGTCCGAAAAAGACCATTTTTAGTGATGACGGGGTTGAATACCATCTTCAGCCGAGTGATGGGATCAATAAATGGCGTTATTAGTTTATAGAACGCGTGTAAAAGCCAAGGAAGATGTGCAATGAGTGCAAGACCGAGACGTTCTGGATAGTGTGTCTGGAGAATGTTGAGTACTGTGCGAGCCGTGCCGATTGAGGGGTTTTTGGCTTTATCCGCATAATCTATCATCAACGCAAGGGTCCTAGATAGCGCCGAAATAAATTTCAAAAATGCGATGGGTAGGAAGGGCACCTACTCAACACCTGGTCCCATAAGGTCGATGCCGCGTTCGAGCATCCAGACAGTATAATGGATTTGACGTGGTGACTCCTCGGTATTCTGCTTTGAGGGGCACATGTAGAGGGCAGGTCGACCTCGAGTATCATAACCAAAGAGGAACTCTTTGCCAGTCGTTGCCTTCATTAATTATATTAACCGAGTGAAATTGAAGGAATTCGTGCTTTCATACCTCTGGTTCAACATGTTGAGGTGTGATGGTATCGTAAATCCCAAAATCGCGTCTCCATTTCAGCGTGGTTTCCAAGCGCTTGATGGCCTCATTCGAATCCCACTTTGTGGCACGTAGGTATCTCAGCAGACATTCGTATGACTATCATCGGTCAGGATAACACTGGTCAACCAATTACACGAGATTGAAGAGTGATGAGAAGGTGCACTGACTAGCCAAAACTTTTCATCCACTACTAGTGCGGCCTTTTCCTGGTTGATATCTGGAAGCGTATAATCTGCGGCAGAGAAGTGTTCGAGGACAACGTCATATAAAGCCTGCTCCTTCTCCGAAAGTGCTGGTGGTGGTGACGAAGCCTCTGGGTGAGTTGGGATAGGGAGTGGGATGTAAATCGACATCGCAGGCGTCGAACAGAGCCGCCTTAAGGTATCCCAGGTATCTTTGATGGTAGTGAAACCTGAGTTGTAACATAATTAATTGGTTTCGTGATCGCGAGCTTTTTCGGGAGCCCCATTGCCAACCGTCAAGCTTTCAAGAGCTTGTGAGCACATTTGAATTTCGCGCGGTTTTCCTTGCCAGTTCATGTAATTTCAGATGCGCCTCATGACCATCGATCAGGTGTTACTGCAAAGCCGGCGTCATTCAGCTTATCTACTCCCAGGACTTTTAGGTTGATTACAAGGATAACACTGTCTCGACTCTCCCACCTTCAAGTTGTGCTCACAACCTACATCTTCGTCCGCCACTTTGTCGAAACCTGCAGCAATGTATCCTCCCATCAAGCCCTACGAGTCTGGTTTTTTCCAGGGTGCAAATTCAGAGAAACACCAGCTTTAGTATGTCTTCTGATCATCTATCGTAACATCGATGATAATCGATCGGAAGTTATGAAGTGAGTGGAAACAAGGAAGGCGATCCAGGTATGTGCTCTGATGATAGTTCAGAAACTCCAGATCGAGGTTATTAACTGTTGACTAGTTGTCTTTCTCCACGGGGGTCCAGGAGGTGGAACAGATCCGAAGGATAGACAGTTCTTTAACCCCGAGAAATACAAGGTAAGCAACAGTCATTTGATAGAGGGCACCTTCCTATTAATATGAATTATACTCTCTCGATGTTGTAGATTGTGCTATTTGATCAACGGGGTGCAGGAAAGTCCACTCCGTAAGTCCCGTCAATTCTTTGACATCGCTCCTGCATGAAATTGCGTAGGAGCGCGGAATTAGAGAACAATACAACGTGGGACCTCGTAAAAGACATCGAGGTCCTTCGGCAGAAACTGGGTGTCACGAAATGGCACGTATTTGGTGGTAGCTGGGTCTGTGTTAGTGCGTTTTGTTCTAGACTTCATCACTGATGGAGATGTACAGGGCTCTACGCTCTCCCTTACATACGCCCAGGTCTGTGATCGGATTCCTTCCATACAATATCTTGTCTGAGCAGTCAATTCGTTACATAGACACATCCAGACAGAGTCAAGTCCCTCGTACTCCGGTGAGCCTCGATGATGTTGATTACATATCAGGCAGTTCTAAGCAACCAATTCTTTTAAAGTGGAATCTTCACGCTAAGACAAAGGTATGCGTTACTTGATAAGCTAAAGTAGAGCATGCTAACCACTTCCTACCTCTTTCAGTGAACTGCGATTCTTCTATCAGGATGGCGCTTCCCATCTTTTCCCCGAACAATGGTAATTTAACACAGTAACGACAAACCTTCGTTGTGGGGTGACCCAGTTGTATAGGGAAGGATACATTGCCCCAATTCCAGAGTCTGAACGGCACGACATGATGAAGGCGTATCACAGCCGCTTGAACTCTCCAGACGAAAATATCAGACTGGCCGCTGCAAAGGCGTGGGCGAAGTGGGAGTAAGTAGAATACCCTCCACTCCGTTGGTACTATGCTAGTTGCTAATATCATGTTACAAGGATGGCTACATCAAGGTTGATCGTAAGTGAGGATGCTGTCGCCCAAGCGGATAAAGATGACTTCGCAAAGTACGTGGACCCAGTGGCGAGTTCTATTTTCTGCTGAATTAACATTCAGCGCATTTGCTCGGATCGAAAACCATTATTTCGTCAACGAGGTTTGTCTGTCAAAGAATTGGCTCGATTGCGATTTATAGTGGCGACTGTGCAGGGCTTCATGCGTGATGGTCAATTGCTTGAGAAGCAGGAAATCGATAAGATGTACGTGTGTTCTACGCGCGTCCTCGATCCCTTCTCACTGTTCCTAGCCGTCACATCCCAACTATCGTGGTTCAAGGAAGATACGATGTTGTATGCCCCGTATGCAGATTTTTCTTGTTTTCATAGACGCCCTTACTAAACACGCTTGGACCAGGCGACTACTGCTTGGGCTCTGAAACGGACCTGGCCAGAAATTACTCTGCACATCATCCCAGATGCAGGACACTCTTCGCGCGAGCCTGGCATCGAGAAGAAGCTTGTAGAGGCAGCTGATATCATGGCTTCCAAAGGTTTGTAGTAACACGAGGTCTATGATCAGAAGAAAGATTTTGAGATGATTTATGTAAGATACTCAACATATGGAGCTTTAAGTTGTACATGATGCGGTAGCATTACACGTTGTTTGGAATACGGAGCAATGAGTATACAAGTGCGTGCAGGAAACCATCGACGATCGTCCATTATTATGGCCATCATCGTTGTGTGAGTTGTCGCTGTGACCGTGCTTGTCATCGTGGCCGATGTCCGAGTCCAAGCTGTATCACGTGAACACGTGAACTAGTAAAGCACTCATGAAGTCCGTGTTTTGCAGGTTACCATCGACATGCTGGATTGCAAGACACGGATCACCTTGGTGCACAGACCATTCTTACTATATAATTTTTTTTCATCTCTCCCGCCCTGGCCAACACGCCTCTTGGAAGCGACTTGGACTAGAAACCATTAAGCTGCGGCTGCGGGGGCACGCCTCTTGGAGACGAACGTGAGCGTTCCGAGGAGTCATGCTTGACGGCTTTGTTAATTCCAACTGTACCGCCCAGGTGAACACTAAACGAGGTCGCCCGGAATATCTTGCGCGGGAAACTTGGCAAGGATTTTTCTCTTGTACGCAACCTCTGCGCCGTCTGCGTTATGCCACTAAGCCGTCCTGATTAAATCGACACTGCCCTACGCTGTTCCGGACATCTTGATCTTTTTCCCATCTTCTCAACGTCAAACATGCGACGAATCTTCCGTACACTGTACCCATCTGCAGTATTTTGGCTGTTGGCTCGCAATGGAAAAAAGCTAACCATATAACATTCTTTAACCTGAGTCCTTTCCACCAATTTGGATTGCATTTGTAACGTACAACGCAATCTGTTCTTAATCACATCAGTAAGGGACGACTACCCGAGTTTTTACCCATTCACTGCAAATACGACGTGCCTCGAGATCATGTTATAGGCTGTCCGTGTCTCTACCCAAAACAGTAAACGGAGTTTCATTTGGCTTGCGCCCCATCAAAAACAATCACCTGTAGTAAGGCTGACCTATCCATGATCCTCACCTGGTTGTTGCCCCGAAAAGGCACATCATCTACGTCGAGGCCATGATCTTGGCACGATACTCACCGTATCATTCCAGTAGGACGGGGACCTCTTTACCTAGCATAGGAAAACTTTTTCGAGTTTTGAGCTTGCTCACACCGGCCCTGCCGTCAGGAAGCAAGTGCACGCATGTACTTTTCAATTTACAGAATGGCCATACTCTCCGCGAGCTTCTATGTATTGGCTCCGTGCTGTTTCCTCCTTGCGTTTTCCAGGCCTTCTCCTTGCTCACCTAATGTGATCTAGACTCGTCGCTCACACAAGTGCAAGGCATACAAGCGCAGCGACTGGCTTCTACCATGATTTAAGGACGAGGATTCCAACCTCTCTCAACAGAACAACGCTCCTCTCCAGCTCTTCAATCCTCACCACCTAACTACTTTCAATACCAACATGACTGACGTTCTTGGTGTTCTTGTCATCGCCCGTAATGGTGACCGCACAGAGTACTACCAAGACCCTAAGACCTACGAGAGCTCCTACACTGAAAGCACTGCCCTTGGTGCTGTAAGTCCCTGATACTACGCGGCCCGTAACTTCCCTAGCTAATGCAGCCTCACCACAGGCCGAGTCTCACCAGCTCGGAACCTTCCTTCGCTCGACCTACATGTCCTCGTCTTCTCCTTCATACATCGCGAAATTGAAAACCGACCTGGTGGACACCCATGAGGTCCACGTCCATGTCAAGGCTGGCGGTGAGGGTACCGTGATCTTTGACTCTGCTATTGCCCTCCTCCAGGGTCTTTTCCCTCCCAACCCTGCCAACAAGATTGTTCTTGCCAATGGGACCACCGTCATTGCCCCCCTTGGTGGTTACCAGTACGTTCCCATCGAGACTGTCGAGCCCTTCAACGACAGGTCCCTTGAGCCATGGACCGACTGTCCTGTAAGCAATACAAAAGTTCAAACCTGGAGAACTGCAATCTCACCTTGACCTGCAGGCTTTCGAGCAACACATCTCCAATGTTTACTCGTCTTCTGAGTTCAAGGCGACCGCACGGGCTGCTGGTCCTTTCTTCGGTGCTGTCAGGGACTACGTTTTCGGCCGCTCTGCTTCTCTCGAGAATGCTGTGGGTTACACCATTCATTTGTTGATACATATGCTGATTACCTCTGATTTAGTGGAATGTGTGTCGCCATGTAACCTAGATTGTTAATGTTGGGTTGAACTTTTTCTAGATCTACGACTACGTCTCAACCGAGCTCTCTCACAACAAGACATATGCTCATCGTCTTCCCCCCACCTTGGTTGAGCAGGCTCGTGGTTTGGCTGACTACCACGAGAACGCCATCTTCTCGGACAAGGATGTTGGTGGTATTGGTAACTGTGAGCCGATTTCGATTCATGTACGCTGTCCACTACTAATCTTGTTGTTGTTCAGTGGCTGGCCGCACAATCCTCCACACGGTCTTGGAATCCCTCCAACGGATTGCATTCAACGGCGACCCTCTGCAGTTCCTCCTCATTGAGACCTCCTACCAGCCTTTTATCTCCCTGTTCCACATGCTTGAGATGACCAACGAAAACCCTGAGCTTGCCGCTATCCGTGCGTATGACCTCACTTTAATGCATCCAGCCGATTAACGCAAAAGACTACAGCGAACTACGCTTCTGCTCTTGCCTTCGAGCTCCGTCGCGGACCTCCCCCTGAAGACCGTGACTTCGTCAGGATCAAGTTCAAGAACGGTACCAGCGGCGACTTCGAGACCTATCACGCTTTCGGCCACAAGGCTGACATTTCTGCAACGGAATTCATCTACAAGATCAGGGCAAGCACCTACGCTAGTTTTTGAATTTGCTCTTCTTAATACCACTGTTACAGAACTACGCCATTACCAGCCAGAAACAATGGGCCGCTGCTTGCACCTCAGGTCTTCAGGATGACTGGCTCCACATTGGTTCCCAGAACGCGACCTCCAGCACTGTCTTTGCCATTCTCGCCGTTGTGTTCCTCCTCGGCATGTTTATTCTCTCCAAATTCGTCAAGAATGCCCGTGCCAAGGCTCAGAGCACTCGCATCCGCCTTGCTGACGACGAGGTGAGTCACTCACACCTACCTCAGAGCCAGCATCCCAATTATGGAACCGTTTTCAACGTCGGTTCTGGCATCGTGCCTTTCTGAATCGTACCGACAAACTTTCATTTCCTCTTGTTCATGACAGAACGTCGTCGCTCAGTCCGTTTCCATGAATGAGAAGCAGCGCCTTCCCTTGTAAACGTCGGTTAGCAGGAGTCGGAGGGGTTGAAAAATACGTGCTTCGGCGGGGTGGGTTTCTTGTTTGATTGGTACTTGGACCACATTGCATTGCTTCATGGACTCTTGCCACATTGTTTCTTCTCGTTTTCAATATGACTGCTGTATAATTTATCATCAGACTGGATTCCCATAGCTTTGAAATTTCACGCATTTTCTCGGATCTTTGCTATGACATTGTGAATCGGCTTGCTGATGATATAAAACCAAGGTGCATCGGATCGCAGGGAATCCGACGACGGATGTTCTGGAACTTCTGCTAATTCACCGCTCAACATGTACAAAACCTGGACATCGTTTAGCGCAACCCGTAACCTCCGGGATTCTCTGTGTCGCCGCCAGACCTTGCTATTATGGTGTAGTCCTATCCGAACGCTCTTGTCAAGTAGCATTTGCAGGATGCATGTCATCGATTACGGAAGGAAATTATTTTCAGGACATATGATAGGTGAAGTTTTGAATACTCATACACACCATGACACACAATGTACACTTTCGAGTCGAAGCCGTCACTTTGACTTACCAGCGATGTCGTTCTCAGCGACCAAAACCGCACGGTACCTCACTTCTCCGTTTTCAAGCCTCTGTATCGCTTCCTCTATGCCAGCCTCAGTCAATGGGAACTCCTCAATGATGGGTTTGATGTGGTGAAGTGCTGCAAACCGTAGCATCTTGACATGCGTTCCACGCGAGGGGCAGATGCTGCCCTGGAGCGTGATGCCATTAACGACGAGCTGCATATACGGCAGAGTGAGGGCGTCAGCGGACAGGGTGAGCGGGTATATCTTGGCATGTGGTGCGAGAGTATTGAGGTAGCTAAATGATACGACACTTATCAAACGATACAGTCACAAAATCACGAAGGCACATACCAATTCCAGTCGGGCTGCTGGGATGTTGTGACGAAGAGGTGCTTGAGGGGTGCCCCTATCTCGAGCGCCTGCATGTTCTCTGTCACGTAGAACTCACTTGCGCCGAGACTCATCGCCTCATTCTTTTTGAGCTTTGTTCCGGAGAATACCACGACCTGGCAGCCCATTTTCGCAGCGAACTGGATGGCGAGATGACCGAGGCCGCCGACGCCGATAATACCTACCCGATCGGTAGGTATCATACCATAGAGGTGCATAGCGTTGAAAACGGTTGCGCCGGCACACATAAGTGGAGCTGCTTCGGAAGAAGAGATTTCATTGGGGATATGGAAGAGGAAGCCAGCTTTCCAGATAGCGTGCGAGGCGAACCCGCCTTGGTCCACGTCGGAGAACCCGTACATTGCACGTTCTGAGCAGAATATTTCATTTCCACTGAGACACTCGTCACAGTGCCCACAGGAGTTATGCAAGTATCCCCAGCCAGCACGATCGCCTCTGCATATGCTGTTAATTTTTGACTCTCTGGAATTTTAAAGGTGCATACATTTCGAAGTTGGTGACCTCGGGGCCAATCTGCTGCACGATGCCGACACCCTCATGGCTGAGAACGATACCAGATGTCTTGTAGTGTAGATCTGTGCCACAAAGGCCGGCGTGAGTGATTTTTAGGAGGACCTCGTCAGGCTTGAGACTGTCTTTGTGGGTTGTTGACGCAACGATCTTCCCGCTGGGGGAACCTTTGAAGACAGTGATATCGATACCTTTATCTGTCATGCATGTCATTGTGTATGTTCAAGTTATGAAGAAGTGATAGGCGATGAAAGAGAGAGGAGATATCGCGCGGGGGTCTTATATCTGCTGATCAGGGGTGCTGACTCATGACTCGTATTCTGAGCAGCTTGAGCCAGGCCGACTTGAAACATAGACGTCTGTTTTTTAACTATTTTTTGAGCACAAGTACAAGTCTTAGACTCCGAGGCTGTTGTATTCACGATCATTTGGGGAATCGGAAGAAGCATGAACTTCCATGACGCGTGAAAGGGCGCGTCAAGGTCACGTGTACCAAAAATCAAGTAGCATATACCCGGTTTATCGGGAGACGACGAGAAACCAGATACTCGGGGAAATGCTTTGATTTCAACGTAGACCATACGACAAATAAAAGAGATAAAATAGTAACCATAGCACAAGTAACGACTCCAAAAAAATAAAAGACCGATTATATCATATGTACACCACAATCGCTTACTTCTAAGTCATCACTGTCATGAGTTTTCAGTAGGAAACGGTAATGAGCCACCCCCAGGGCGTTCACCGTGTACGCGTAAGCGGTACAAACACGTATACCCGTCTTTGCCCCAATTATTTTTCATCACAAGCGCCACGATACCGAAATCCAGAGAGAGATCGCGGACTTCCTGACGCACGGGGAAGGTTTGGATGTTTGAAGGCGCGTAAATATCATACGTGAACGATGCAAGGCGGATGAACGAAACGTCACTGGGGAGCGTAGCCGGATAGTCGTCCTCAAGATCCGCGTCAGAGACGGCCTCACCAGCCTCATTGGCAGCCTCTCGTCGCGCAGCTTGTTCTGCGCGCCATGCTGCAACTTTTTCTAGATTATCGTTGCCCTCTACTTGGCCCCATACCTCCATGTCTTTTGGAGCCGTGCTAAGATCGAACGCGACTTCCTTGGCAACGTGGTCAATGGTGATATCAGAGATGATGGTAGGGAATGCCAGCATCACGCCCAATTGACCGTAAGGCCCGGCCATGGGCCAGCAGTTCCCGCTATGCAAATCTTGATGCAAAGCGGTTATTGGTGATCGGCCAACTTCATACCCATGCCCAGTAATAAGACCCAGGATCTGCCCTCGCAGTGTGCTTGGCCGCAACTCAAGCGTACCACTCGTAAGATGGGGAATTGGACGTGCACCACCCGAATGAAGCGCGAAATCAGGACGAGAAATAATATCCTGAGTCCCATACCGCGCAACGGCGTTGTCGACGAGCTGGGATATGAGTGAAGTGACATCAGAGCCATCCGTGGACTTGATGGTAAGACCAGCACCGGTGCCAACAGTGGATGCCAGTTTGGACCACCAAGCTGGGCCAGCGGGTTCGTTGACTGGAGCACGTGCAGCGTTTTTGGCTTGCTCCAGGGCATCCTTTACGCCACCCTCGATGCCTCCAAGCCGCTCCTCCAGAATTCTCAACTTAGCCCGTGCTTCTTCGTCGTTGACAAGAGATGGCATTGTAATCGCAGTCTCCCTGGGCGCATGTTCCACAGCACTTAGCTGAGAATGCAGGGCTTCAACTTCCCGTCTAAGGTCAACGAGACCTTGACTCGAAGATGTTTTGAGATGAACTTCAGTGTCGGAAATACGCTTGGCCTCGTCACGAATGCGCGCCTCGAGAGCAAAAATTCGGTTGACGACGTCTCCATGTGCACGAGCCTCGAGATCTTGCTGCGCACGAGCGCGTTGTTGGTCAAGGGAAAGACCAGACAGAGCAACTTCGATATTTTGAAGCCTAGCACTAAGTTCATCAAGATTCGCGATCGGCGTGTCGGGTGCGTAATATTGGCGTTGCGGTGAGCGAATGGGTAGCATTTGAAGGATGGGGTCGTAGAACTGATGCCAAGTGGCATAGAGAGCAGCAGCGACGAAAAGGTATCTGGCAAGGGTGATGAATGGTCCCGCATTGATACGTGAGAAAAAGGAGGCTGGACGCATGAAGATGATGTCGAATATCGACCCAAATATGCGGCCAAGAATGAGGGACAGGAGGCTGATAATGCGTATAGCCCAAGCGAAGATACCCAGAAGGAGCCGTACAATACGGTTCACAGCTAGGCCCAAGAGACCTCCGACCGAGAATGATCGTGATGGCATGTCAGATGTGTTGGAGAAGCCGTCCACAACTGGAGGCTCATCCATCTCAGGAATGGAGTCAAGCCCCACTTCGAGGTCAGTTGGATCATCGGAATGGGGAGGGACAGATCCGCGAGGTATCGAGGACCTTGAAGGCGGAGGCACAGAGCGGGTGGCTGACCCATGCTGAGCCGAAGAGCGCTATGAAAGATAATGAGCAAAAAAGCCGAAATCAGAGATCTTCACCCTTACCTGCTCACTTCCGCTACTACTGTCATCTTCTTCACCCTCAACATTAGTCTTGCTGCCCCTCTTCTTCTTCCGTCGCCTGTCGTAGCCTGCCACTGGCAGCGTCGTCAGAGGACCTCCACCTAAATCCTTTTTCTTAATTTTTCTTTTTCTTTTCCGCCCGTCGTCGGAAACATCGTCAGAGTCCCCTTCCATATCAGATTGTGAGGGCTGATACGCCTTGTTATCAGCGGACATCCGGTTCCGCTTGTGGCTGAGTGCGGGCCTCTTGGAAGCGGACTGCTCTTGTTGCTCACGAGTTAGCTTTTGTCGCATTGTCTCTTGATACTCTTGCTCCTCTGATGCGTAGTCATAACTGGAGTCTCTGCCATTTGTCGTTGTATTGGCAGCTGAGATATCCGCTGGCTCGGTTGAGCGGGGACGCATGTAAAAGGAAGTTGCGGACGTCAGGGCGCGCTTAGAAACGTCGACGACCTGCTCAAAGGGGCTCTTCCCGCGAGCACTGCGGTCACGTTCTTGGGACTCTTGATTGTCTTCGCCTTCGGAGTCGGACACATGGGTCATATTGGAGTCCTGCTTTGAGAGAGTCTTGCGCATATTGCGCTGTGAAAGACGATTCGAAGGTGCTGCTAGTCGGCGACTGCTGGTAGAGTGGGTCTCTTTCTCATAGTCGACAGATGTGCTTCGAGGTACGTTGAGGTTTGTTTGGGATCCAGAGGCCCATGCGTTATTGGGATTGCTGGAATGCATCTCGAGTAATGTAGATGCGGCTTGATTGAATGCGCTTGCAATGTTAACAGAAGTGTCCTTTACGCTCCACGTCTCGGGAGCGAGCGTTGGTTGGGACTGCTGAAGTGACCGCTCGCGCTTTAGGCGGGCGTAGCGGACGAGAGCTGTCTCGTCGTCTGCTGCGTCAGCCGTGGATGCAGATGATGTGGGTTTATTCGGTGATTTGGAGCCTGCTATTGGGGCTCTGGTGTATGTGAATATATGATGAGGGTACTGTTGTAAGATGTGATATGATAGTGCTCACCCGTACGCGTACGAGGTTGTTGTTATTGAACGCGGTGGACTTGGGGGAGGATTGACGGGTCTAGCAGATGGATTATTGTGAACTTTAGCAAGATTTGTCTTGTTGAGGAATGTGTGGTGATCTAGACGTCTGCCTTGACCGAGAGGTGTGCCCGCGAATGACATATGTAAGCCCGTGTGAGGCTGCTTCGAGGCGTGTTAACCTTGATTAAGAGCACGCTCCAAACACGTTTCCACAGTGCGGTTAAGCGTAACTCGGTTGGCGTGTTGCGATTAGTGCCAACCTAGTAATTAAAATGAGTTTCGGTGCAGGTAAAAATCTGCAACTTTTATCAGTTAGCACGTTAAAAACGAGGATGATGAGGATGTTGTTTCAAGAGCGTTCCGTGGCGGCATTAAACATAAAACGCGACCAAAGCGTGCTCCTCAAATCACACTTGTTTACTCTTCTTTGTACACTATCCATTCCCAAAGAAAGAAACCATAGTACAATGGCTTTGCTTGTCCCACTGGCAAACCGTCGCGACGTAGACAAAAGCTCGAAATCTGGTCGTATTCACATTAATGGAACAGTATATGACAACCGTTGCTGGCTGACGGTCCGACCACTGGAACCAGTTACCACAACTCATTGTTTGACTTTCAGCTGGGCATTTACTTGTTTTTGTGATGCTTGCTTTGTTACGGAAGAGTCACCCTGCATGTTTACAGCAAGGAAGGCTGGTCATCACCACGTTCTCGAAGCACTGCGACGTAAACAACAGGGTCAATGCTATCCGCGGCGGCGACAAAGCGTGGTACAAATTGCCCTCCAAATGGGCAGTACCGTCGTTGCGAGACCATTGGAACTCGTTGGTAAGTAGAACGTAGCTTTCCATAGGACATACATGTGCCAAAGCAGGACGTGTTTCTTGTGACGGCTGAGCGCTGAATGTTGAACACGCGCGGACGGTCTTCTTTTGTTGAGTAGTCTATACTAAACAAGGAATGCCCTCTGGTCCGTCAGAACATCCCTCGCACATAGTAATAGACCCATAGCACAACAAACACCGTCTACACAACGCCTTCTCTCACTGCAAGACAAAGCCAGGATTTTATTTCACAATCATACTTTCACCCAAAAAAGACACTCGTAACACCTCTGATCGCCACTGCCACATCTACCACATCATCAACACCACCCTATCAGGCGTCAAATTCAATCTGAACCTCATGCCAGAGTAGCGATACGAACATAAAGCGATCAATGGTCCTCGAGAAGGTACGATCACAGGAAGGGTGCTCGTCGCAAAGCTGCCCACACAAGAACTGTTGGCCATATGCAGAACACATATATGGCATCATTGCACAAGTGCCACTCGTCCAGAATAATGCGCAGTAGAATTTACGAGCCTGAAGGATTCATGCACTTGCTGTACTACGAGCCCAGGGGAGCAACTTCGACATGATACCAGAGGTCACGGATGGCGGTCAGGCGGATGGTGAATTAAAAGCGCTCGTCGACATGGCCAAGGATCGTGTTTTGAGAGGCGACATAGCTGTATTAGCAATGTACCACATACCGACATGAGAGTTGGTCGAAAACGAGGTGTGCCAGGTATTATTTCTGTTTGTACCTATAATTACATAATCATTGTCATTCTAGTATCAAGATCTATTATTGACATGAACTTATCGACCGTGTCGACTTAATAATTTGTTTTTTGGTTTCATGTGTCTCATACTAAGGGCATGACGGGTGCCTCGATGACTACTCTATTCACGAATCTCTTCGCCTTCCTTAACTGCGAAGTCACAGCGCGTTGTAAACTTGATAAACGATAAATAAAGCTTCAACCTACTAGCTCCTTCCTGAATTTAGCTCGAGCACTCAGAGACTTGCATGCCAGTGCTTGCGAGACTGTCTAGTGAGCTTGCGCCACTTAGTGCAAGTGAGTCGTGAAATATGATTGTCCACATCAGAACACCAAGTACAGTAACACATGGATATCAAAAAAAGATCACTCGTTCTCTGCAGTCCCAACAAGTGTTAATCATGCCGAGCATTTCCCGTCATACACGCGCTCCTCGAAAACCATTGAAGTCATGCCAGTTGCTACATCTGAGTCGGTCACAAGCCTAGCGTGATACTCTCGAACGCCAAGGACCAGGCGCGGTCCCAGCACAAACTTCCCCGCTAGTGAGCAAACTTGAAGAAAACCAATCCAAATGTGGCATTTCGTGGAATATAATTCCTATAGGATGGTGAACCGTGCACACACGCAGAGTTCAGTGAAAGATTGGCATACCACTGGGGTCTTCGGGGACAGATAAGCAAGATTGAAGCAAGAAATGGGAATAAAGCTAGCATCGGCAAAACTTCAGCAGTCAAGAGAATCGCATTCACATCATGAACTCACCTCGCAAAGTAAAGTAAATGAGTTTTCATCAACACCGTAAAACAGTCCCCGATAAAACCCCCTGCCGATGAGCGCCGTAATTCACGGAAGTGTATCGTAGCGATCCAGACTGCGAAACACAGTGCGACAATCTCCCATACAGTGACCAGTACCCAAGTTATGGAATACAGGAGTACGCTGTCTCCTACAAAGCTAACGTTGCACTGATACATGCCTGAGAGAACGACTACCTCTGGTATTTATCAATGAGCCTGGTGCACCTGTATTTCGCCTGCAATCAAACTTACCCCCTGAAACATTCTTCATTATTATTCCCGCGAGCACTCCGTTGGCGACGTTGACAATCAGGAAGATGACAACAAGAAATGTCAGCACGTTTCTGGATCGCTGATACATGGCATGTAAACGAGCAATCATCATGACTTGTGTAATGTTTCAGTCAATTCAATACCACAGTATTGCAATAGCTTACTGCCCAGTATAGCATTTGTGATGACACACATCCAATCTAGTGCGAGGTACCCACCAGGGCCTGATAAATTCAGTAACGTTATGGAAGATCGTACGCCCGAATAAAAACTCACAGCTATGGCAATCATTAGGTTGAACTAAGAATTCGGTCAAGAAGCTCACTCACCCCTACATGGGAGTGCAGATGATTGATCAGGAATTCAGGCATAGAAACAGAATACTCACTGCAGCTGTCGCTGGAATAAACACTGTATGTTTCCGGTCAGAAGAAATGAAAACAGTGTGTGCAAAGAGACATACGCAATACTCTGGTGCTGATCATGAGAGATGACAGATTAGCACAACACCAATTGCTTAACCTTCCCAACATACACGGAATATATTAGTCCAACATAGCGCACCTAAGATCATTTCAAGTCAATACAACTTGCCCGCCACACTGATAACACAAACTACATACACCCAGATACGATGCCGTCATGAGGGACCAAGGTCTATTCTGCCGCGAATGATCAGTTACGTTTTCACGTCGTGCTATTGATGCTCACCCAGATCAATTCCACCTATGAAAGCATCCTTAGTCAGATGGCTGCTTCAGTAATATCATCGACACACCTCTTGACCGAATGTAAGTGCTGGAAATGCCATGAGGATATCAATGCCTTTCATGTTCGGTCGTGCTCACCCCAATCATACATCAACCCAACAGCGAAGGCGACTTCAAAACCGCAGCCAAAGTTAGACTGCCACATCACCATCATTAGACTCGTTCTCCACGAACCTGCAAAGTAGCTATCGACACGACTCGTCTTGATGAACGGCCCTAAAAAGAGAATATTTGAGACCAAGGTCATGGTAGTAGAGGATGAGCAAACTGGAGTGAAGACCTTGGTTAACGTATCGTTTATGCTGGATACAATGGCGGGCCCCATACCGTTATCCGGCGCTGGACCGCCGAAGCGAGATTGAGAAATAATTGTCCCAGTCTTGATTTGGTGAGGTAAGTGTTTCAAGATGAAAGCGAAGATACAGTCCGACAACCAGCATTATGCCAGTGGTCTGACGCGACGCCTAGTAGCGCCTTCGGAAATTCTGAAATCTCGGTTTAGTCGTGAAACAGCTAGAAGCGTGCCTAGATAGATGTGGCTAACGTTATAAAACAATATATGCCTGAGCCGAGCATGATGAATTGGTGTGATTAAATATTATTTGAGTCTCACCAGTTTAGATGTCAGCAAGGTGACTGATGGAGATATTGAATCGGGTCGGGGACAAACATAGAGTGGTTGACTCGAGCCGCGTTGTGGCAGACAGGCTTTAGTTGGTTACTACTCGGACTATCCTTCGTGACTATCGCGACCTGTAAGGATGAAGTGTATATTCCTGTATGTATTTGCTCGGACCTAGTAGTAGCGCGCTGCACTTTTGTTGGAAATCATTAATCAGCCGTCATCTACTAAACATGACAGTTTCTGTTGTTCCATTCTGCGTAATGGCGAGTCACTATCATGCATCTATTCATTTGGTTTACCTACTGGAGACGGATCAAACACGGGCAATCGACGCAAGTATTAGAGCCAGGAAACCGTAGCTAGTGTAATGGGCAAAGAAAATCACTGTGAAGATTCTGGTAGAAGTTTGCTAAGCGCAGCCCAGCCCTTGGTATTCTCGAATGACTGGAGAAAACCATCAAAATCTGATTCTGACTCCTCGGAGGTCGTCGGCTGGTCTGCGTCTATTATCGATCGTATTAGTTGTTTGCGTCGATTGAAGGTGTGTGTCTCAAGCACATCGAAACAGCCCACAAGAAACGCCCATAGTGACGAGTCTATGTGGGAGCGTGCGGGAGGTTTCACATTACCCTGAAAATGGTACTTCTTCTCGCCACATGCCACAGCGCCTAAAGTCGCCCATTCATCCAAGGGGCGCAATCTCCGTGATAGGAGGACCCCATTCTCGTAACGCAAGGATATCCAGGCGAAGCACCAAATGAACGACTCCAGATCATGACGATATAGGTGTTTGACTTCGCCTCTTTGACCCTCTTCGGTGAGGAGATCGAGCGCCATGAACGGCACCGTGCCCGTGCGCTCATTGCCCCGAGGACCTGAGTCATCTGCTAACGAGGATAGATCGTAGTCATTCAAAACGCCTATCCGCTTGTCGTCTTTCCAGTACCACATCAGATTTCCAGGACTGACATCTCGATGATGGACCCCTTCCTTCCACAGAGTAAGGTGGCCTGCATGTGCTGTCAACAAAGAGACATGTAAATTCAATGAAACACGTACATGAAATACACTGCCGCCAGACGTCAAAAAGCTCTTTGCCGTGAAGCTGGGCGATGGGGAGGAGCTTGCGGAATACAAGAATGTAGAGCACGCGACTGCCTGTAGTGGGTTCCGGAACACCGAGCGCTTCTCGGATGGCGGCTGTGGGATTTGTGAACGTGTGGTGCCAAAGCAGGTGAGGAACATGGTCTTGGACAGTTGCGTGCCTCTTGGCGATCTCCTCAACCTTTTTCAGGATCTCCGGCTCGCTAGTGCGACTCGCCTCTCCCCAAAAGATCTTGGCCACCATCCCATCCTCGAACTTGCCGTATTTCTTCGTGAGCACTTCGCTAGTGACAGGGACCACATTGGTGGCCCGTCCTTGCAGTCCGTAGTGCGTCACTCTTTCATCGTGGCTGGTATGAAGGAGCAAATCCACCTCTCCAAGGTTTTCATCATCGATTTTGAATTCGTGGCATAGTTTGCCCTCAACTTCAATTGGGAGGAAGTCTTTGTTTCGGCCCCAATCGTGAAGCTCGAAGCGTTGTAAAGCATACAACAGCACCATAAATCGCGGGAGATCTTGAATGAAGTTGATACCTGAGCATTGAACGATCCCTTGCCGATCATAATACCAGATCCACATTACATCGTCTGGAAAAGCTGTGGTAAGAGCGCGACGAATCTCGATAGACGAACGAACTCACCGACGACGATCATATTCAGCAAATAATTGACTCCAAGATTGGCCGCAAACATCTCAGCGGCGTACAGACCCGTCTGAACGGTCACATCTAGATCCGCGTCCGCGTCAGCATCCATGTCATTGGTATCCATCTTAGATTTTTTCGCGGTGGATTCCAAAGTGTCTGCGGCCTTGCGCTTGGAGCTAGACCCGCCCTTGGAATGTTGTGCAGTAGTAAGGCCAGAAGATTGAACTACTGCTAGGCTAATTTAGTTTGATCTTGAAATCGAAAATGAAATTGCTTACGTGCAGTGTCAGACGCAGGTTGTGTTGCTGGGGTATGCGAAGGGCCTGGCGCAGGTACTTGAGCCTTAAGATGATCCACCGGCAGATACTCTGGTTTGGTAGGGACATGGTCTGTCACTGTATACGTAGAGGATGGTGACTTAATCCCTTTCGTCCTCCCAGCTATCTTTCTTTTGAACTCGATGCAAGCTAGCACATCTTTCCATGGAAGTTTTTTCGGCTTAGCTGTTGCATTCGTGTCCATATGAGCCTTGCGCTTCTTCTTGCGCTGCTCGTCGTCCTTCTCGTCGTTCTTCTGTGTGCCCTTCTGTTTGTTGGTCTGCTTGCCCTTCTTGTTGCCCGTCTCATCCTGGAAGGGAGCGCATGCGCTATTCAAAGGAAGAATCACGAGGTCGGGCTTCCGAATTGATTTCTTGGTCTGGTGCATCTGGTGCATGGGCATATCGTTCTGCTGGCAGATCATGTCCACGGTAGGGACAGGAGCACGCATCCCATCAATCTTGATCTCTTCAAGACAAGCGAGGGCGACGTTAGTGGCTCTTATAAAAGGGCCGTAGAAGTTGTTCTCCACTCCTGGACATACGCTTGCAATTATTTTGAGCATCAGAACGTCTGATCAACGAACTTAGAAAAAATCACTCACTATTCGTTGAGGGCTGTCTCAATGTCAGAAGACTTTACGAGGGCAGTAGAAGCCTGCCCGTTGCAAACAGGCAGAACCGCCTTGAGACACTTTTGCAGAAGCTCGGGCTGTTCGGTCTCGGGAGCAGAAGAAGCGCGCTGAAGGAGGGCTTGCAGCATGGCATCTGCCTTGCACTCCTTGACCTGCTCAATATCCCGTTGAATCCATGGGCCGACGTTCTTAACTCTTGATGGAATGTCAGGCTCTCTCAATAAAGACAGGAATTGTGCGCACTTGACACCGAGCACCCCGATGTTCTCGCTGACAACAGAAGCCCCACGGCTGTTTGGGGTTGATTCTATTTTGCTAGCACCATGAGCTGGTGCATTGGTGCGTGGAGGAGTAGACTCAGTCTCGCCGGCAGGGGACATGATACTAGGTGTTCAGCGATTACGCTGATTGAGTGTTACGAGCAGGATTGGTGAAGAGGAAGAGTTAAGAAGACAACAGAAATGACTGCCTTCCTTATATCTGGTCGACCAGCGTGGCACAAATGTTGTGGACATCAATCATTAAATCTCAGATGTGGATTGATGTGGCGGAGTTGGTTGAAGACGCGTTCCCATCAACACGTTCACGTGACCCTAACATGAGTCCGTAGTCACGGTATTAGTACTACTTACTAAATCGGATCCATCTATACTCAGCCCAGTATGCATCAATCCATCAAAAACAAGGCCCATCAGTTTATGTTTTTCATAGTATTTTACCATACAAATGGTGTTTTGTAATACGCAACTTGAATTAATTATCATATCGATCCGGGCTTATGCTAGTGCCTAGAAACATTATATTATGATTTCTTCTAAGAATCCTGATTTCGGGATTTATATTTTAGGGTGGAATGGAGTCCGCTCGCTCCAGCCTGAGGTTCAGAAAGAAGACAGATGTATGACTCAGTTACACTTCTCGCACACAATGCTTACCCCTTTTAGATCCATGTGCTGTGTGCCCCTTGTGAATGGATATATCGCTGTGTCTTGGGCGATATCAGACGATCAACACATTTGACAAGTTTGAAATGTACAGTCATTGGTTCAACGGTGTTTGTAACCCAGACATATCAGATCCCTCGCCCACTCCTAATCCCTCACAGGAAACCCTCCTAGGCTCCAGAACCTACCTTCGCTCATATACTCCCCAGTCAATCTCGCAGCCAAAAGGAAGAGCGATCCATCTAGAGCTTCTGCACCCTCCAGTTCCGTATCCTTGAAGTAACCCTTGGGCCGTGCGCCATAAATGGATGAGAAATGCGCAAAAGCGCGCTGAATCTTAGGCATATGTTCGTTTGGGTGCGTTATCACAGACTGAACAATATCGAGGAATGGGTTAGCGACCTTGATTTCTGACGAAGGGCGTGAGGTGGCGCTCATGAAGCCTTGAATGTCCAGTCTAGGGAAACCGCATGTGATCCACCACCCAAGAGTCGATGCAAAGTATCCGCGAAGCAAAAGAACTTGTGAGTTTTGTGGCAGGTAAGCCAGCAGTGATGGAAGGAAGAGACTTGAGGTGACGAGATGCATACTGGAGCACCCCCAAAATCAGTATTCACACATAGCAGGTTTGACGCCACTTACTATGTGAAGTCTGCTGTGAAGCTTCTGTCCTTGTTCCATCCGCCAATGGTGTAGATGATAGTGCTTGTCCAAATACATTCTTCCATCTTGCGTTCGATTTCGCCTGGCTGCGACGGATCGATCGTCCATTGTTCAGCGTAGTGCCATAAAGTATCACCGTGCTCGGACATCAGGCCATCAAAATTGTTAAAATGCTTCTTGATTTCCTTCGGTGTGAATTTCGAGTCTTGCATGATCTTGGCAAGAATAGAGAACGCATGGTTCTTTGGCGGTTGTTCGAGTTGAGAGGGCACAGTAGATGCCTTTGTGTTAAGGACGAGGGAGGCAAGCCAAGTTGTTGCCTCTTCCACTTCAGTTGTGCCGCTGGGCTCGAAAAGACGCGACGGCAAAAACTCATAATTATGCACGCTGGCCAATGCAAGACCTTGAGATGTCTGTCAGAGACTTTTCTACGGCGATGTGTCACGTTGCTCGCCTTCGACAACCATGCCTGGGATGCCTAATTCCGCGCCGTATCCTACATGGATGAAGGCGTGGAACAAACCTCCAAGGAAGCGCGCCAACATCACCGGCTGGGCGGATGCGTCTCGCCCCTCTATAAAGTTGTACTTCTTAGAGAAGATGTATTCCTCTAGCGTGGAGCTGAGGCTCCTTTCATCGATAACCTTGATGAAGAAGGATTTGTACGCGGCGTAAAAGCTGACAAGAAATTTATTGAGCAGGGCGTTGAAGTAAGAATCATCATGACTCACTTGTCATCCCCAGTGAAAACTGACTATGACGGGAGAGGTCTATATGTGCTGAGACGTGAATTACCGTATTAGTACTGTGCCAGGTGTGCTCATTTCTTATATTTTCGTCATTTATTAGCTTTGCAAAGTTCGCATTGCATAACATCTTCTTGTCAAGCTATGTAATAGCACAAATTCCGTATCGCAAAGCGCAAACTGCACATCGCAAACACAAACTTTGCATCAATGTCATTGCAACTTGTGCAAGCTACGAAGGTCGTGCGGCACCCCAAAGCAACATAAATTGTTGGGGCCAAATTTCTGTTGTCCCACCCTTCTTTCTCCCCACCCTTCTTCCTCCCCACCACATTCCCACCTCCGAGTTAAAGGTCTCGCTATTCTCCTCCACTGGTTCTGCCCTGTGAGTGTCTCACATGTTGCTTATCCGACGGTATGATTGCGCTGACCACACGAGTTTAGAACAGCGGGATGATATAAAACTGAGGCCACTCTATTGTTGCGTGACCTTTTTTGTTTGTTGACGTTGTTTTAACCGTTCGCTTGCAACAGGTTACCAACGATTCTTGGATGTTCTGGACCTCGGGGGGCAAGCAGTTTGCGACAGCCAACTCTACTAGTGAATCTCCCGTAAGGTAAGTCTCATCTACTAGGTCGCTTCTGATACATGGACTAAATCTGTCTCCGAAGGATGTCTCTATTAGATTCAGCACGATCCGACATACACATTTCCTACAATGTTTTCGAGTGCTTTCGAGCCGTTGTCCGCGCGTGTCATGTTTTCAAGCCGCTATGTGTTTTTGAGCTTTTTTGTACCACTTTTGTACCACCATTGCTACAGTGCCTAATATTATTCGAGCATATTTGCGCACATTTTCAACCATCTGGCAAGGGGAACGAGTATATGCATTCAAATGCGCAAATATGTTTTACGTTAAAAAAGCACCTATGTGCATGAGGAAACCCGCCCCCGCATATATTGAAATGTGCGGATTCGCTCACTACGTGTCTTATCATGTTCTCATATGTTTTTCTATCGAGCTGCTGACAAAATCACTTATTGTCACACCACGACTCCTCCCGTCATAGTCAGTTTTCACTGGGTGTCATCACCTAAGAGCCAGTTCGGCAACGAGATGTTGACCGAGGTTTGGCAAATGTCAGGTGAGGCTTCTCGGCTTGAAGCGTCCCAGACGTCGGACTTCTAACCTTACATCTCCTACCTGTACATCTACCATGCATCCCTATCTTATTGATTGTCATCGACGACAAAGACTTCATACTAGCGTTATTGCACTTGCGGCTATCTGTGCTAGTTTTACGACAGTTCTCATGGCTCAGCCAGAGGTCACACAGCAGACTGACAGTTCAAAGGCACATTGGCAGGATGCGGAGGTGGATGTCCTGCTTCACCACCTGATTGAGAATCGGGCATCAGGTGGTGATGGCGGAAATTTCTCAATGCCTACCTACAACAGTGCAGCAGCTGCTATCAACACCGATGGTACGATTCAGACAATAGGCCCACCGAAGACGGGCAAGATGGTCAAGACGAAGTGGACCTCGGTATGTTATCTTATATTGATCGACCATGAATTGATGAGATCGGTTTAGCTCAAAAAAACATTCAATCAAATCGAGGTTTACCGCAACGTGTCTGGCTTCCATTGGGACAATGTGCGGGGAGCTGGAATTGAGGGCACTGCTGCTGCGAGCGTTTGGGATACATATGTTGCGGCAAAGGTATGTCATTATTAAATATATTGCGCAACATTGACTAACATTGAGCTAGTCACGAATCGCAATGCGCCCCTTGCGCAACAAAGGGTGGCCCCCATACGACGACATGCAGGCCATCTTAGGCGAGAACAGTAGTGCTCGTGGAAGGCATGCATTCCACCCCGCTACTACAGCCCCCGCCTCCATCAGTATCGATGATGTGCTCGATGACGCTGACGGGGGCCTCAACCTTCTTGACATGGATGTGGACCCCAGTGTGCCAGACATGAGCGCTGACCTGATGATGCCACTCAGCATCAGAGCCTCCGCTACTACTGGCTCCCAGTCCAGTAAACGCCTGCGCACCAACACTCTACTCGACTCCGTGGAGACATCGTCTCTCCCTTCCAGTGGCGTCCCCATATCTACCCATCCCGCTACTCCCCAGTCGTCAACTCTCCCGCTTTCAACGACATTGGTGCCCTCCACTCAGGTCTTCAAGAAGGCTCGAGTGTCGGCACATGGCAGCTGTTACAATAACATTTAGAGAGGCCCCTATACTCATTTTCCTTTCGCTTCTTAAACGGGCCGTCCGTACCACGCTTATCTCTTATCACGCTTATCTCTTATCATGCCTATCTCTTATCTTACCAAGCGGGCTGTCCGCCTCTTCTCTGCCTCTATCTTGATAACACATTTACAAGCTCCGCTTGAACACTGGTATATAAACCTACCTACCCATAGTTGTATTCTTTACTTTAATCTACTGGGTTTTACCTGGAACATTGTCCTTCAGTAAGGTCTCCAACCTTACTGTCTAAAGAACCACTATTCTAAGGGAGTCAGCGACACTCGCCTTAGCCAGAATACTTGATCTCTCAATCGAGAGCAGACTTACGTCTATCTGGCATTCCGCCGATTGTCTACTCAGACAGAGATAGCTCGACTCATCCCAGTCGTAACAAAAGATTAAAGTCTTATTACCTGAACCGTTGCCATCTGCAACGAAACCGACACCACGACTTCGTTAACTCCTTTGATCGGAGCCTTGAACTTAGGAGCGCTACCAACCATTCCTCCTTTGAATGCCATGACGACCCAGAACAAAGAAATAGAACTAAAGATCGGTTCCCCTCCCGAATTCGATGGAGACAGAGAAGAATCAAAGAGATTCATGATGAAATGTCATGCATACCTCGACATTAACGACAAAGTCTACGTTGATGATAAGAAGAAGATCATTCTTGTGTTATCCTACATGACGAAAGGAAACGCAGCAGCCTGGGCAGAAGACTTCATGGAAGCAGCCCTAGACCCCAAGAGGAAAGACACCTCTGGACAAATGATCGGCTATGGTACCTGGGCCAAATTCAAAAAGGACTTCGACGAAGCCTTCAAACCCATGGACCCCGCCGGAACTGCCATGATGAAGATACGAGGATTAGAGATGAAAGGAGATCTCCACACCTACATCTCCAACTACAAACTCCTCGCACACCGAGCAGGAATGACCGAACAAGCCCCCCTCATCGAATTCTTTCGACAAGGCCTAGACTACGGGCTTCAGGATAACCTGCACCGAACAGGTGAAACTCTCGATAACTTCGACACCGTTGTCAACTCTTGCATCAATCTCGATAACGCCTTCCAAAGATGGAAAGCCATCAAGAAGAAAGAAAGACCCCAGCAACAAAAGAAGAAGAACTTCGGAAATAGACACTACGTTCCAAAAAGAGACGACGACATGGAAGTCGACCGCATAAGCCGCCTCTCAGACGCAGAATTAAAGAAGCACCTCAAAGAAGGGAGATGTTTCAAATGTCACCAAGTAGGACACCGTGCCAACGACACCTCCTTCCACCCCAGAGAAAGAGGACAGATCCGAAGAAACAAAGAGGAAGAAAGTAGCAGCGACGACGAAGTCGAAAGTCGCCCCTCCTCCTCTAGGACCCCCATCAGAAGAAAGAAGGAGAGGAACGAGGAAGAAACTCCAAAGAGGAAAGCACCAGTCCGGAGGAAGACTATGAAAGAGAAAGCCAAAGAAATCGAAGAAGAAGAAGATAGCGACTTCACTGAAGTAGAACGTCGCTTCGTGGAGATGGATTTTTAGAAAGGGACACTGCCTCGACGTCAGTAACTCCCACTCATGTACGACTAATACGTTCTATCGGAACCAGAAATGAATTAAGAATTCCTGCATCCATTTTTTCCGATAAACGCGTACAAACCGTCGAAACATCCATGGTCATCGATTCCGGAGCATCCGGCACCTTTATCAGCGATACCTTCTGTAAAAGGCACAAAATAAGAACCCATAAACTCTCACGACCCTTCCCTGTTATCACCGCCGATGGGTCAGACGCTCAAGGAGGACTCATCTCTCGTTACTGCGTACTCACGATCAAAATCGATCAACGAACCATGATCGGGAAATTCAATGTGGCAAAGCTAGCCAAACAGGACAAAATCCTCCTAGGATTCCCCTGGCTTGCTGCACTAAAACCCCAGATCGATTGGGAGGCCAAAACCGTATCACTCCCATCGACAAAAAGGTCGCTCGCCATAGAGAAAAACATTGATAGAAAGAGACGCAGGAAGTCACTTCCGCCGCTTTTCAGAAAAGAAAAAAAAGTCAGAAAAGAAACGACCCGAACTTGGACAAATTCCAAACTACGGAAGCCGATACAGGTGAAGGTGGCAACTGAGGAAACCACCTCCCCCTATACCGCTTCTGTAGAAGAAGTAGTTGATGAAGAAATCCCCAACTATGACACGAAGGAGGACGTCTGGTCAGAAAATTTCAAAACTCCAGTCGTTGACCCATTAGCCTATCAACTGGCTAACGACGAAGTACTCGTCGAATATGCCGCTGATGGCTCCACCGTGCGCATCATAGAAGATATAACCTTCGATACCCCACTCGTTCGAGACGGGACATCAAAAAGGGAACAAAACTACGGAAAGACGAGTAATAAAGCCCAGGAATTCGCGGTTGCAGGAGAAATAGAAAAACAGAAGAAAACTTTCGAAGAACTCGTTCCCCATTTCCTCCATCAGTATCAAGACGTCTTCGCCAAGGATGGTCTTAACAAACTCCCGCCGGAAAGACCCGGGGTAGATCATCGTATCGACCTTAAACCAGGATTCGTGCCCAAAACGTCAAAAGTCTATCCGTTATCAGGAAAAGAACGAGAAGCTGTCAAAATGTTTATCGAAGAAAACACCAGAAAAGGTTTTATCGTCCCCTCCAAATCACCCCAAGCCAGCGGATTCTTTTTCGTAGGAAAGAAAAGTGGAGAACTGCGCCCCTGTCAAGACTATCGGTATCTCAACGATTGGACTGTACGAAATCAGTATCCCCTCCCCTTGCCAAAATCCCTCATTGAACAACTCTATGACACCAAGTACTTCACGAAGATCGACATAAGGTCAGGGTACAATAACGTGAGGATCCACCCAGAAGATCGATGGAAAGCAGCGTTTACCACTCAAGAAGGACTGTTCGAGCCAACAGTCATGTTTTTTGGATTAACGAATTCCCCTGCAACCTTTCAAGCGTTCATGACCAACCTCTGCCAGAAGCAGATAAACCAGGGATGGCTAGTCATATACATGGACGACCTGTTAATCTTCTCGAAAGATCTTCAGCAGCACCAAGCACGAACCATCGAAATCCTCGACATCCTTCGAAAAGAGAAACTATTCGTTAAACCGGAAAAATGCACCTTCGATGCGCGAGAAGTAGAATATCTTGGAATGATGATCCGACCAGGAGAAGTAGGGATGGAACCCGCCAAAGTAGACGGAATTAAACATTGGCCAACCCCGGGGAACCTAAAAGACACACGGTCTTTCCTAGGATTCTGCAATTTCTACCGGACGTTCATCGCTCACTACTCGGATATCGCTCGACCCCTTATCGACCTCACGAAGAAAGACCACCCTTTCGTTTGGACTGACAAATGTCAGAACGCCTTTGACCACCTTAAGAACGCCTTTTTATCGCAACCAGTACTAAGAAACCCGGACCCAACTCGTCAGTTCGCAATTGCTACCGATGCATCATTAGCAGCAACCGGAGCAGTATTGCTGCAGACTGATGACAATGGAATGTACCACCCATGCGGTTACCTATCCCAATCTCTCAACCCCGCAGAACGAAACTATGAAATCTTTGACAGAGAATTGCTAGCGGTCATTCGGGCACTCTCGGAATGGCGCCATTATTTGGAAGGAAGCCCCCACACCGTGATAGTATTCACGGTGAAGGTACAACAATTCAGAGAGGGAGTCTGAACAATGTTGGGTCTTGCAGAACCTAGCTGCTATTCGACCCTAAAGGGTTTCTGGACCAGGCTCAAGGCTCAGAGAAGAGGAAATATGATAGAAAACTACTGAAGACTCTGACTCCTACTGGTAACTGGTGAAAAGATAACTTGCTTATGTAAGCTACAAAAGTGCCAACATAAGGTAAGGTAAAAACAGTCTCTACAAGCCCAGCCAGAAATGAATCCCTACAACGGATCATATGAACCTCCTATACTTCCGCTCCGCCCAAAAGCTGACACGAAGACAAGCACGTTGGCAACTCGTCCTTTCCAATTATCAGTTGGAATTGCATCACGTCGCAGGAACCAAATTAGCCGCTCCTGATGCCCTATCTCGACGTCCGGACCATTCACTCGGAAAAGATGATAATGAGAATCGCGTTCTCCTCCCCGATACCATGTTCGTACGACTCATTGACAATGATTTGTCAGAAAGTATTGCGCGCCACTCCGCTGAAGACCCCGTATACCAGACCGCCTTGGAAGCATTGGACGGAGTATGCCTTCCCCCGATGAAATCTGCCCTTTCCGATTGGACGTGCATCAATGGCGTCCTCTTTTATAAACATAGAGCTTACGTACCAGCGGCCCAACGGCATGACGTGTTATTCAAACACCATGATCATCCTACGGCGGGACATCCCGGCCGATTTAAGACAGAAGAACTCGTCAAACGAGATTTCTGGTGGCCAGCCATGGGAACTTACATCCGTAAATACGTCGACGGATGCGCGTTGTGTCAGCAAATGAAGGCTGACACACACCCTGTTACCCCGCCATTGCGCCCAATCCCCTCCACCGCCACTCGCCCTTTCTCCCAAGTGTCTGTCGACCTTATCACCGACCTTCCCGTCTCGGGCGGTTTTGACTCTATCATGATCGTGGTAGATCATGGGCTTACGAAGGGGGTAATTATTTCACCATGCAACAAAAACATCACCTCCGAAGGAGTGGCCAAACTATTTCTCAAAAACGTGTTCAAAAGATTTGGCCTCCACGAGAAAGTGATCTCAGATAGAGGACCGCAGTTCATTTCGAAATTCTCTCGAGAACTTGCCCGACTCCTCGGATATCAGATTGCCGCATCGACCGCCTACCACCCCCAGACAGACGGACAAACAGAACGACTCAACCAGGAACTAGAAACCTATTTACGGATCTACTGTAGAAGCAATCCGTTAGAATGGTCCAATCATCTCCCTATCGCCGAATTCGTCCATAATCATCGGAAACACGATGCCAGGAATACCTCCCCGTTCTTCCTCATGATGGGTTACGAACCACGAGGAATCCCACACATCTTATCAGTATCAGACACGCCGGCAGCAGAAGAAAGACTTAGGAACCTCCAGAAGATACGAGAAGAAGCTCTTGCCTGCCATAACATCGCTATGCAACGAATGGCAGAAAGGTCTCGCCAGGAAAAGTACCGACCATGGAAGACGGGAGATAAGGTATGGCTCTCAGCCACCAATCTCCGCACATCATTACCATCTAGGAAACTTGCGCCCAAGAGATACGGACCATTCCCTATCACCGCGGTCTTATCGCCCATCACGTTCACCCTGAAACTTCCAGAACAATGGAAGGTCCACCCCACGTTCCACGCTTCTGAACTATCCTCCTATCGCGAAACAGAGATACACGGGCCGAACTACGCCGAACCACCACCTGACGTTATCAATGGCGAAGAAGAATACGAAATAGAAGCTATTCTTAGCCATAAGGGCACGGGTAAACGAAGACGCTATCTGGTATCATGGATAGGCTACTCCTCCGGAAGCAACGAATGGATACCCGAAGAAAACTTGCGGAGTTCGAAAGAACTCTTAACCACGTATAAGAAGAGACACAAGTTGAACTGAACGAATCATTCCCCTACGAACAAATCCCAAGTAACATGTCTCCACCCTTGACACCCTCTCCTACCGGATCATCATCATCATCCTTGCACTCACTCGGAAACTCTTCGTACAAAAAGAACATCCTTAACCTAGACGACGACGCCATCGTCGAGACCACTCTGCTGTCCCTCCCCCACGCAATTGAGCTTGAGAAACAGCTCGCTGAAGCACCCGCGTCCGCTGCCGCCCCTGTCATATCCCAGATTCACATCATACGCGCCACCGCCGCCCTTGAGCTCAGACTCAAAGAAATCGAAAACGATGCCCTCAGACTCGCATGCCAGCACCTCCAGAGACAAATACGCAGCCTTGAGATTCAGCTGCTTCCTTCTGCTTTTAGCACTATCTGCAAGTCAGTTATACGGACTGTTGAAGAACGAAACCAGACCGAAGTCGGTCGCCCGCCAAGCCCTTTTACTAGCGCTCCCCCCAGCAACGTACTTGCTGCAGATACGGCTGGAGAAGAAACTCAGCCTGCTGCTCAACCGACACCAGTCGAAGAACCACTCCCCATCCCCGAACCCACCGTCGTCTTCAAACGAAAGACCCGTAGAGGGGCTACCGTGCACGGAGTGTCGAAGACTAGAGCTTCTAAGGGAAAGAAGCGTGAAGTCATTGACCTCACCGAAACCCCCGACGTCATCACTGTAAAACAACCCCAGTTTTCCGCGGACAATTTCGTCTGCCGCGTCTGCAAGAAACTTGGGCACCGTCACAAGAATTGCCCCGAATATTACTGTCGCATCTGCCAGGCCCAGAAACCCGGCCATCTTTCTATTTATTGCCCTTACGCTGCGAAGAAAGAACTATTCCCATTGGTTTATACCGATGAAGGCTTCTATGAAGCACTAGCGGCATGGGAGGCCAGGAAAGATGAAGAACTTCTGGAAGAAATAGAAAGGGCGAACCGAGATTACGCCACCAGGTATAATGAACCAGAGTTCTGCAACGCTGACGCAGATCCCATCCACTATGACTACATGAACGAATACTGCGACACCGAAGAATAATTGAAGTCGGAGACTTCAACCGTAACAGGGGGGTAATGTTACAATAACATTTAGAGAGGCCCCTATACTCATTTTCCTTTCGCTTCTTAAACGGGCCGTCCGTACCACGCTTATCTCTTATCACGCTTATCTCTTATCATGCCTATCTCTTATCTTACCAAGCGGGCTGTCCGCCTCTTCTCTGCCTCTATCTTGATAACACATTTACAAGCTCCGCTTGAACACTGGTATATAAACCTACCTACCCATAGTTGTATTCTTTACTTTAATCTACTGGGTTTTACCTGGAACATTGTCCTTCAGTAAGGTCTCCAACCTTACTGTCTAAAGAACCACTATTCTAAGGGAGTCAGCGACACTCGCCTTAGCCAGAATACTTGATCTCTCAATCGAGAGCAGACTTACGTCTATCTGGCATTCCGCCGATTGTCTACTCAGACAGAGATAGCTCGACTCATCCCAGTCGTAACAGCAGCACACATATGGGGACGAGCAGTGCTGCCAGAGTCGCTGCGAAGATAACTCCAGCAGCTGCCGTCATGAACATGCAAGGTAGTATCAATCGCCTCACTGACGCTATTGAAAAGAGCTTGGCCCATCCGCTTGAAATGGTGCCACCACCACCACCACCTCCTCCTCCTCCTCCTGCTCCACCCACCATGATCTCCCGCGGTCTCGCAATCATGCGCAGCACAGATGCGGATCTGGGAGTTGAACAGAGAGCCACCCTCCTGCGGATATTTACCCGTGCAGGAGGGGAGAACAATCTTGCCGCTTATGTCGAGCTGGAGGATGACTTTGAGATGCGCCGCGCGTTTATCTCTGGGCTCCTCGTGTCTACATAGAACTACCATACCATTTGTATCACTTCTCATTACATTTTTGTATCAACATGTAGTATCTGTATTGTACATCCTATATGACATCATGATGAGTACACGGGTGCGATTGAGTGTGAGTATGAGAGTGAGAAGGAACTTGCGGGACCAGGAACGATGTATAGGTGCGATTGAGCGTGAGTATGAGAGTGAGAAGGAACTTGCAGGACCGGGAACGGATCAGGAGTAGATGGTTGTGGTTGCTGCTGCTGATATATAACATTGTAAAGTACAAGTGCATACTAGTACTAGTCCAGTCCGTCCTCATCCTCCTCTGCAATACCTTCTGATAGATCGTCGTTATCATCTCCTCTCTCCTGCAAAATGCGCTGATAATCCACCCACATCGCTTCGGCAATGCGATCACGCATCAAATGGACGTCGTCGTGTCTAGCCGGATGATTCTCTGCTGGCTCCTGCTCCCAGTTTGCGGTGTGCGCATCGCCAATGGGGTGGTCCGCATCAGGCAGGTTGCCTTCTGCAGGATCATGTAAGCGGATAAAATTATGGACGCTGCACAACGCAGCTGGGATCTGAGCTTGTACGCCCATAGCGTATGGTGGGGACAGCAGGAGGATCCGGAAGCGTCGTTTGAGGACACCGAATATCCGCTCGATGACATTTCGAGCGGATGCGTGACGTAGATTGAACAGCTCTTGTTTCGTAGTTGGCCTGTTAAAAATTAGCACATAACACAAAGAAAAAGGCTGGTACAACTCGCCTTACACTTGCACGACCCCATTCTGCAAGGTGGTAGCGCACGTTACGGTAGGGAATGAGTAGTTCAGGCCGCAGAGGGAAACCTGCATCTGCAAGGAAATATTTCCCTACAGGAATGCGAAGGTCATGGCCCTCTGCAGCCTCGTAGATACGCGCGTCTGTAGCTGACCCCTCCCAGCCAGTGAGGGCATATATGAAGTTGAGGTTGAAATCGCATGCAAACAAGCAGTTTTGCGAAACGAATCCCTTTCGATTACGATAGGGACCTCGTTCGAATGCGCGAGGCGATGCGTGAATGTGGCTTCCGTCGATGGCGCCAATGGTATCTTTAAAAAACGGCCAGAACTTCGGGTTATGGCGGATTTTGTTGGGAACGGAGGCATCTGGTAACTGGACATATTTTGTATAGAAGGGGGACGACGAGAAGATGTTGAGCATCTTGCGAAAGTAACTACATAGAACATGAGACAATATAAAAACTGTTAGCGCATAGTACTTACCGGGAAATCGTATCATTCGAGCGTTGAAATCTTTCGCCAACGTGTCTGAGGGACAAACCTGTAACAGATGTGTACAGGAAAATCGCAAGCTGCTCTTCTAGCGAGACGAACTTGGAGGCAGTGTGTCCAAGGGCACGAATCTCAGAGATGAGCTCTGCAAAGACGTGTGCATGCACACCAAGTTCGCACCGAATTCGTTCTGGATGACCAGACAATAGCTCCATAACCCAGGCTTCGCCGGAGAGGGCAGACGTGTGATAGGGCTCTGGATCCTTTGCATACACGGACTCTAATATATTGGCTGTAGCGCTGATCAGAATACTAACAAGAAGAATCGAATATTGGACAAGGCGACGTCGAGTTTCTGGGCGTTGGGGCACATAAGGTGGGAGTCGCGATTGAACACTCATTGCTGTAGGACATAGATCAAGGACGATGTGTATAGCGTATCGATAACAGCTGGCATTAGGGTTGGACGAATACAGCTATAATTTGAGCTCCGACGTCTGGGACGCTTCAAGCCGAGAAGCCTCACCTGACATTTGCCAAACCTCGGTCAACATCTCGTTGCCGAACTGGCTCTAAATGTTCGATAAAGTTCTCTTCTGTGACAGCCTCGGGAGACTCAACGGCTGGGCGCTGGTAGGTGCTGTCTTGTTTGTAGAACTCTTCGATCAGAGATCCACTCGCGCCTGTGACAAAAAGTGCTAGCGCGCGATGAGTAATGTGGCTTCATCGACGTTTGAATCAGTAACATGAGATATAAATTAGTTAAGATGCTTACGCACTTATGGAACCGCTTGTAGTTGAAGAAAATGTGGTACTTTGTATAGTTTTCCTTCAAGACATATGCCAAAGCTACGACTGCTTCTGGGGAAACACCAGGATACCGCGGAGGGGAAAGCACGTTCGGCGGGGAAGATGGGGAGGGGAACAAGGCATCGAGTTCGCTCCCTGAATAAATCTGTTGAACTGCAGCCATATTTGAGAGGGAAATCAGAATGCGGAATGGTGCATATGAATTATATGCTTGTCATATAATCACGCTAATGCATTTTAGGGGATCCGGATCATCTTTAAAATCCTAAATTAGGGGCATGCGGTATGTAATGTAAGCCTGTGCAAAAGCCTTGGCACTATGGTCCGATAAACACTTACTAGTCTCATCCTCCAAATCATTGCGCAGTATGTGTGGTCCGATCATCGGAAAGTGACAAAGCTGCATTGCTTCTCGGCGCTGAAGTCAAGCAGACGCATCTCTTCAAAAGTTAGCACTGACGGCCCGTCCATCGCCATGATGTTACACATATGCTATTCCAAGTACACTGGGAGTACATAGCGTACCGCTTGTATCCTTGACACGCGACGCTAGACATGAGCAACTTTAGATCTCTGTCGAAAAAGGATGTGTAGCCGGAACCAAGTAAAGGTCACAAATGGGGAAAGAGTTAGGTGGGGACAAGCGACGGAGTAACGTTGTTGTATTGTGAATCTATAACTGAAAGTTACAAGTATCGATGCGCAGAACACCGTGTGCAGGGTATAAAAAATTACTTAAGTTTGCTGAGCTCAACCCATTGACCTAGACTGGTAAATTTGGATAGAAAAGCATCGAGATCCGAGTCCTCGGCATTGGGCTGCTGGCTTTCTCCTGAACTCGATGTAAAGCGAAGATAGTATCGGTTGTCGGCATCCCTTTTAAGCACCAACATACAGTTCACGAGGACTCCCCATTTATGTACGTTTGCTAGTGCTCTTGTGTGTATGTGTCAAATATCTCATCAACCAGCAGCCCTCTCTGCTCACCTCGTTCCCTTCGTCTTCCAGCGATTTCCGTTTGGTCCGAAGAGCCTCGTGACTAGTTGATGTATCTGGAGGTCAGTAGCTATTTATTTGCGAGCCTCTTTTGGGTGCAGCAGGTGTAGTCCAAGCGAGCTGCTAAGTCGGAGTTGGCGGAGGGACACTTGGAACCGATCCCACAAGGAAAAGGAAAGTTGTTAAGAAGGAGGGCATTGAAAGAGTCTGTGGCTGGCGGCGTGAGCAAGACCAATACATGTTCCGTCTTCAAGTCTTGATGTTCGTCGGCCCAGCGAGTTCTGGTGTTCCATGATTTTTCAAACAGACCGACGGGGTAGCATCCTGATGAAGATAGCAGCAAGTCATGATTTCTGGTACAGAATACTCGGCAACGATTTTTTAGAGTGAGCTACTCGAGTACCATGAGCACAGTTGATGATTGTTGTCAAGAAAAACTCGACCTGGATGTCGGATGCCGGACTCCGGTACATATGCCGCGTTGCGCTCTGGCTACTGGCTAACGTTGGGCAAACGCCACACATATTCGACTCGATCAGAATTCTCTATTTTTTTGTCCTCTTAGAATACACAGTCCGTATATGAGGCAATATAGCGAGCAATGAGCATCTTGTGGAAAATAATCTTGAAGAACGTCAAATTAATGACGTTGAAGGAATCAGAAGGATGAGTACTGATTACTCTGTCGTGTGACGTGGTATATAATGTTCGTTGTTGAGCCCAACGCAGTCCCAAGGTAGAATACACGACGCAGGCACTATGTACAATATCGACAGGCAGCAAACATCACTAGTGGGGAAGGTTAGACATACGACATCCCGCATTTATGGGAGTCGATGACGTACCAGGAAATAATCCGGAACACGCCGTGAAACCAGCGGCTCTCCCGCTCGGGGGGCTGGGTCAAATTGTAGGCTGCGGATACCATTCGAGATGAATAGTAGACAAACCAAGTAGGAAAAACACTCACAAGCTGTATGATAATTTTTCATCTATTTCCATGATCGCCGCCTGGTTACCGCATCTGTAACAGTAATTCGGTGCGCTAAAGATCGTCACGACATTCCGATCTTGACCCCAACTATAACCTGAGCATCAATTACGCGTGAGCACACAAGCTAACGTCGTATTGAATGTACGCATACCCTCCATGACGAGCTGATGTGCTCGGGCGACAAGGGTCAATCCATTATTATGGTTGAAGGCCTCGGATATATCCTGCCCAAAGGTGTACCCCGCCCCGCGGGGTGAAATGCCCCAACCACACCGGTCGTCTGGGTCAGACCACAGAAGGTCGCACATAGGACCTTCGTGAGGAACTTCTTGCACACGGTCAATTGAGCGGACGTGATCTAATGTGTCGATAGAAGGTGAGAGACCGCCGTGCAGGCAGAATATCTTAAAGTCAGAAGGTTAGCCATTGGGAATGGAAGTAAGGTGATTTTCGCGGCGTGTTTGTATGGGAATAAGAGACTCACTTGGTTATCGATGAGGGCAGTGAGGGGAAGGTAGTCAAACAAATCGGTGAAGAACCGCCACACATTAGCGTTTCCATATTTCCGCAAGCACTCGTCATAGAAGCCGTACACCTGCGTGATTTGTCGAGATTCGTGGTTGCCCCGTAGAATTGTAACGCGGTCGCGATACCGTAACTTGAGTGCCACAAGCAAAGTTACTGTTTCGACAGAGTAGTACCCTCGATCCACGTAATCGCCCATGAAGAGGTAGTTGGTATCTGGTGAGTTTCCGCCAATACGAAATAGCTCAGAAAGATCATGCTGCGCGTCGAATAAACCAAGTATGAGGAGCACGATACGCGCACAAGACAAGATCAGCGGTCCAGATTACAATAATGAACAGGAACGCACAAATTGACCATGGATATCCCCACACACAGTTACTGGGCATCGTACGGGCTGTACGTTTGACTCCTCCATAAGGATCTCTCTCGTCTGTTATGGCTGCAGTCAGATCGAGTGCAGGTGGCGTCTTTATCGGGGTCAACGAACCTTGTCGCATAATTTCTTTACGTCTGCTTCCGTTAGTTGTTTACACTGACTGAGTTGTTCAATCCAGGCATCGATCTCGTGCTCCATGATAGGTTTGGATTATGCTGGAAGTTTTATGACAGAAGAAGAGTACGAAGGGCGTTCTTAGTAACTTCCTCTAAACTCCCTGTCACGGTATCACGCACTCATTATCAGGGTTATTGTCACGCAATAATCGTGTCACGTTTAGCTTCCAAACGCGACGCGTTCAGCAACAAAATCATGGCTCAACAAGAAGCTGTATATGCAACTGACGAGGTGATTCGCATAAGCCAAATCATCCCATACTTAGTGCTCAATTATTCCAGTATGGCCGACCGTTCATCATCCTCAGGGACCAGGGAAGAAAAACAAGAACTCATGGTGTAGAGGCAATTAAAGTGGGCGATTTTCTTCTCGATCAACAGTCCTGAGTTCACGAAATATATTCAAGTCGCACATTCTTGCGGCACGGACAGTAGCAAACATAATCCGGACTTCTCTAGGACCTCGAGGTGAGATCTATTTAGCCGTTGCATTACAGGAGTTTGATTGATCAATCATGCAGGCTTGGATAAAATCCTCATATCACCTGACGGCGAGATCACTGTGACGAATGATGGTGCAACTATTTTGGGACAGATGGAGGTCGAGCATCAAGTTGCAAAGCTCCTTGTGCAGCTGTCCAAAAGCCAAGACGATGAGATCGGAGACGGGACCACTGGTGTTGTCGGTACGATTTCAACTACCCATCTCTTTCCTTTTATTGAAATACATCTGAAGTACTGGCTGGTGCACTTTTGGAGAAGAGCGAGGATCTGCTGGACCGTGGTATTCATCCCATCCGTATAGCAGATGGTTTTGACCGGGCCTGTACTGTTGCCTGCGAGAAACTCGACACCATCTCAGATCGCGTCGAGTTCTCACCTGAAAACAAAGAAAATCTTCTGAAGACCGCGATGACCAGTCTAGGCAGCAAAATGTGCGCCAGTCCTTTCTTTCTTTCCTCGAATATACTTAAATTTGGCCCAGCGTGTCGAAGGAGTTGCAGCAGTTCGCTCAGATCGCGGTCGATGCTGTTCTAACAGTTGCAGACCTTGAACGTCGTGATGTTCCCTTTGACCTCATCAAGGTTGATGGCAAAGTCGGTGGCTCCCTTGCTGACACGACATTGATCAAGGGCGTTCTCATCGACAAGGATATGTCCCACTCACAAATGCCCTCTTACGTGCGCGATGCTCGCCTCGCAATTCTCACCTGTCCCTTTGAGCCTCCACGACCCAAGACTAAGCATAAGCTCGAAATCACGTCCGTAGAGGAGTTTAAGCACCTCCGGGATTATGAAAAGGAGAAGTTCGAGGACATGATCAAGATGGTGAAGGACACTGGAGCAAACTTGGTCATTTGCCAGTGGGGTTTTGATGATGAAGCAAATCATTTATTGATGCAGAACGAGCTGCCTGCAGTTCGATGGGTTGGTGGGCCAGAAATTGAGGTGAATTTCGCAAGTTCTCCCTACCGTGAAAGCATTACTGATGTTCTGTTCTTAGCTGATTGCCATAGCTACACAAGGTCGAATCGTCCCCCGATTCGAGGATCTTACAGCACAAAAACTTGGGAAGGCAGGTATCGTGCGGGAGGTCACATTCGGCACGACCCGCGATAAGATGCTCGTTATTGAAGAGTGTGCCAACTCTCGTGCGGTCACAATCTTTGTGCGCGGAAGCAATAAAATGGTCTGCCTTCTATTCACCCTCACTGCGCGCATAATCTGACGTTAAGGCACATAGATCGTCGATGAGGCAAAACGTGCCCTACACGATGCTATCTGCGCGGTCCGCAATCTTGTCGTGGACAACCGCGTGGTCTACGGGGGTGGTGCTGCTGATATCAGTTGTTCCATCGCCGTCTCGAAAGCTGCCGATGAAATTCCATCCATTGAGCAATATGCGATGCGTTCTTTTGCAGCTGCTCTCGACGCGATCCCCCTTGCACTTGCTGAGAACAGTGGTCTCTCGCCAATAGAGACATTGACAGAAGTCAAGAGTCGACAAGTCACAGAGAAGAATTCCAGACTTGGAATCGACTGTTCTGGAAGGGGAGAGAATGGTGCGTGATACCACGTTGCATACTTGAAACGCTTGAATCAAGTTTGGAATTCTAGACATGAAGAAGCAGTTCGTGTATGACCCTCTGATTTCAAAGCGACAACAATATCTACTTGCCACCCAGGTGCGAACCTTTTATTGCCACTCTGATGCACGATGTCTCAATGCGTTTTCCCAATTGCAGTTGGTTCGAGCAGTCTTGAAAATAGGCAAGTGGATGATGTCTCTTGCCGATCAAATGCTAATTGTTCCTACAGACGATGTTATCGTGGCAGGTGAAGCAGAAGAGTAGACTAGTTATGTCTAGAAGTAAAGACGAGAAGCAGACACTGACATTTAGTAAACATCCGCATGTAATTTGAACTTCGAAGCGATTCGCTGTGTTAAAGTTCTCCCCGAACATGCTGCAGGTGATGCTCTCGGAACTTGCAAACTTTTATTAGCATTACTATATTTGTTACAGATGTGACGATATTGATATTGATCTGTAGATTGATTTCAATCTACGGATAAATATTGTACTCAAGTACTTCTTAGCTAGGGGCCTAGGGCCCGAGCTTCATCCATGTGCGCATCTGAGTTCGCGTATACACGCTTTCTCTATAAAATCAGCCCACTTTCTTCCACTTCTCCAATCCTTACTGTTTTATTTCTCCTTCAGTGAGCATATACCTCTTACCTTGGTAACTGTCTACTGGCCAGCTTGTTGTGTTGAATTGCACTCATACAAGCTTTGTTGTCTCTAGCATTCCATTGTCGATATCCTATCAGACAATACCAATATGGGCAAGACTGATTTGCGGGTGCTTGGCCAGACACCTCTTAATGCCGAACCACCATGCCTCGTAGAGCTCACAAAGCACACTATTACACCGCTGCACCTGGCATATGCCCGTAACCATTGTATGTTTCTTCTAAGCTATGCTACGCCTCTTCTGTCTCTCATCATGCGCCTAACTCCGGTTCTCAATCCTATCATCTGCGATCAAATGTGATGTCGTGTCTGGATATTCCATCCCGTCCCATTTTCATTCTCGAATGCTTGGTCGCTTGACCGCGGACACTGCTGATGAAATGGCATTTGTGGCATCCGCAGCTGTGATAAAGGATCTGGCATCTGAATCTGACAGTTATACGGTCAAGATAGACGGCGAAATGGAGGGGATGGAAGAGAAGGTATTGAACGTCAAGGAAATGATCGCATCCTTTCCAAGAAAGGTGGTTGTGGCTGCTCTCGTCGTAGGTCATCCCTGGCATTTCAAAAATAAACACACTCACCAGTCTATCTAGTGCGCTGGTAACCGTCGTGTCAGGATGCAAGAGAACACCGGGAAAGAGGTCCGAGGTATCAAGTGGTCCGAGGGTACCATTGCGAATGCACGCTGGGGCGGTGTACTCCTGCGTGACATATTGATCAGTGCAGGAATCCCTGAGCAGGAAGACGCTCAGAAAGGTTTCCACGTCTGCTTCGCTTCGAATGTTGCGCCATGCGAGGATGACAAATGTTATGGAGGGTCTATTCCGCTTGAGGAGGTCATGGCCAAGGACGGTGCCGCTATGCTTGCTTACGAGGTCAGATTCTTAATTTCAGAAGTGCGCGTATATTCACGTTACCCACTAGATGAACGATGCACCCCTCACGCCTGATCATGGATTCCCTTTGCGCGTCGTTGTGCCTGGCTACTTTGGCATGCGATGGGTTAAATGGGTGGACCGTATCACTATTTCAAGGAATGAATCGCCCAATTTCTATCAGCAGCGTGATTACAAGATATTGCCTGAATGTGTATGTCATACATATCTCATCGAGAGCTTACGTCCAACATCTTCGCTGCAAATAGGTTTCCTCTCCAGAGAAGGCCGTTAAGGAGGATTGGTGGAGCCGTATACCTGCAATGCAACGGCTTAACTGCAACTCGGTCGTCGCCCACGTCCAGTGTCTGACATTTGCCTGTCCTGACCAGAAGACGCTTAAAGTCACAGGTTACGCCTACTCCAACTCCCCTATCTCGCGTGTGGAAATCAGCGCGGATGGCGGTGAGACATGGCACGAAGTACAAATCACATACCAAGAGGGTAACTGGAGTTGGTCACTGTGGGAAGGCGAAGTCGTAGTAGACATCGATGTTGATGCTCTTGAGCTGGCTAACCAAGGACAGAGGAACGGGCGCTCGAAGACCAAGGTCACGGTGATAAGCCGAGCATTCGATCAGTCTGGAGGCGCACAGGACACCGGATGCCGCTGGAACTTGAGGGGAGTGGGCTTTTGCGGCGTTGGCATTGGTTCGGTTGAAGTATGATCAATTTCCTAGGATTCTGGTGTACATCCTAAGATATTCATGGCTAAAGTAGTGTACCTTGGCGCCTTTATATCGACAGACCCTTATTTTTGCAAAACAAGTCGTGCGAATTCACATACCTCAATTGAACTTTTCATAGTGATTCGGGGTGTTGCGAGATCTGTATCGCCAAAATCTCGGGTCAGGGATTCGGCAAGCGTAACTGAGAACGTTCAGACACTCCTCGAACAAGCGCTGTGTTGACGGGCCGGAGAGATATGGAAACGCCTAAGCCGCATTAACACTGTTCGTATCGCGCCGCACTGAAGTGAGACAAGCGCTGAGTCCTTCTATCGAACACGTGGCCTGACACGTCAAGAGCGGTACCCTTGGCCCTTGTAAGCGCCAGGTATTATACATAGAATAAACTGCAACCCAGTCTGTCGATAACGAAGTGCATAGCTGGTGACGCTTTTGGCAATCAGATCAGGTGCCATGGCAAGCCAGCTTCATAAGGCATATGAACGTTTATGAACCCTGATTTGTCTCGTATACATCATCTCCTTGTGTTTAGCATGTCTTTGATGATCTATGTTATTACGATGGGCCTACCTGCATAGGGTCCGGATAACAAATCCCAATGCTTCTTTGAGCTCCCACCCCATGTTGAGGGAGCTTCCCATTGATATAAAAGGTCTGGCCTTCGATTATGTATTCGCATAGTGCTTGGCATCCATTTCTCCCTACGGACAGCGACTAAAATGACCGGAATTGACTTCACCGTCTTCAAAGGCTCCCCTACTGGAAAAATAGTTGAGTCAAAAACTCACAAAGAAAGCCTCAAACCAGACGAGGTGCTCCTCAAAGTCACTCATGCTGGCCTGTGCGGTACGGACCAACATCACAAGACGGAGGACATGGTCCTCGGCCATGAAGGCGTCGGCGTCGTGCAGCAGGTCGGATCGCAAGTCACCGCATTCAAAGTGTACACCCGTTTGTTGTTTGCGTTGTCGTGTAGCTGATCGTGTTGCGTTTAAACAGTGGCGATCGTGCTGGCTGGGGATTCCTCCACAATACGTGTGGGCACTGTGACGAATGCCTCAACGCGAACGAGTTTTTTTGCCCTGAGAGGGCCACTTATGCACACTCCAACACTGACCAAGGTGCATTCGCATCCCATGCGGTGTGGAAGGCAGCTTTCCTCTTCCATATTCCCGATGCTATCAGTTCCTCTGACGCGGCGCCATTGATGTGTGCCGGAGCAACGATATTCAACGCGATGTATTCGTATAATGTCCGACCTGCGGACCGAGTGGGAATTATAGGTGTCGGTGGTCTTGGTCACATTGCCATCCAATTTGCAGCGAAAATGGGGTGCGAGGTTGTAGTTTTCTCTGGAAGCGATCATAAGAGGGAAGAGGCGAGGAGTCTAGGTGCAAAAGAGTTTTATACGAGAAGTGCGAGCAAATATGAAGTCGGGAAGCCGATTAAGCACCTATTCGTTACAACTTCGCAACTCCCTGATTGGAATCTGTGAGTCTTATCTCGAGGTGTGTTTTTGGATTGACTTATATGTGATTCATAGCTTCCTCTCGGTTCTGGCGCCCAACGCTACTATTTATCCTATCACCGTATCTCATGGGGATTTGGTCATCCCCTATACGCCTATCATTTCAAAGGGGTTGACGATACAGGGAATCTTTTGTGCATCGCGTGGTGTCCAAGTCAAGATGCTAAGATTTGCGGCTATCCACGGCATCAAACCCATCACTCAAGAGTTCCCACTGACGGTCGAGGGAATTGAAGAAGCTATGGCCAAACTCGACAGAGGAGAGATCAGATATCGAGCGGTACTGGTGGCTGGGAGATAGGGTGGGATCCGGATAGAAGTAACAAAGTATTTGTATTATCATCACCAACGCACCAGAGTATTACCGAACGAAGGACTTGACAAATATGTGTCTTCGAGTACCACCAGAGATATTATTCACTGCAGTGAACTAGATTTCGGGAACCCTGAGAAAGCACGTTCATGTAAACGGGTTTTGGCATAGCATTGAGTGCTGTCACTCACAGCACGTTCATTTTGAAGACACCTCAGCTCCAAGTCGAGGGACAAGCTCTGTGTTGCGTCCAAAACCAGTGCAACTAGTAACCCGCCGAGCAATGCGCAGCTCCCAGTTCAGAAAATGGTGCAGGAATCTAGACGGAGTCTAGTCTTGCACTGGATATGACGACATGAGGGCAGGGATATTTCCTCAGTCCTTGTTGGAACACCTTCCATTACACGAACCGAATTTAAGGTTACTCGCGGATACATCAAATCCTCCCCGACATGGCCTGTATATGATCCGAGTTTATAGAGGAAATTTTCACTAGTAGCGCTTATTACTGTACGGCTCGTTAGCAAATATCGGTCTTTTGATGCCAAAACGGGTGTTTCCACCCTTATGACATCATAAACGTTTTGGCTCAGATGACGTTAGGGGCGCAACAATGTTTCAGTGTATACAAGTCTTTCACCCTCTCCGCCAAGCAAACCACATTCAATGAGCTATCTTACTTCAGTACGCAATTCTCTAAAGAGAACACTCGGAGCTCCGTCGCGATATGCAAGTGCGAGGTGTGCTAACAAAGCAGACACCTTGTCAAGCCGACGGTATGATGATGGAAGACGGTACACTAGGTATTGGTTGCAAATTCAATACTGCTTCTTATTATGCTTATCGTGACTTTATTTCCAAAGTACGATGCATGACAATGATCCAGAGGTACGTCCGCTCCTACTATCTGCCCCTGAAGCAGAACGAAATTCCTCTATCGCAGACGCTGGAGCGAGAGAAACGAAGAAACTTGTCCGGCACCCAGCTTGAAACTTCCGCGAATGATGATGCACCAGGGTGGAACGAAAATCTCGCGTCTGAATCTGAAGCACACGTGAAGGTGCTTAGTACAACGTACATCGAGAAACATGAAATTGACATTATTTCGTAGGCTGATCGCTCTTCCGTCACATTTAATGATCTTCAGCGCAAGACGATTGATTTTGTTAATGCAAAGCACCAAGCAGACGAGCGAATGGATCACAGAGAGGCATCCTACCTGAAAGACGAAGTAACTGGTCCCCTTGGCACCGCGAGAGTGGGTGAGTTCGAGGGCGTTGTTGGTGCCGGTGATCTTGGAATAGATCAGGAGGGCACTGACATAGATTCAGACGGGCGTACCATTAAGCGGCACATCGTCTATGAGGAGACAATCGAAGTTGTGAGAGAGCCCTGTCCAACGGAGAGCGAGGCTGATGTGAGTGGTTCGAGTCTCGATTCTGCGTCTTTGTCGTTGACATCTAGTCAGGTAAAGGCAGATCGCGGGGAATATTCTTGAATCACGCCTGTTAACATCGCGCGATTAATGTCGCCCTTATTGAATCGATACTCAACTTAGCCGTAGGCCTATATTCCATTCACTAAATCATGCCGTATGCTCCGAAGTGTACATGATATCATCACTTTTGCCTTCAGAAAGATTATTCGGACTGTTACTGTAATGTACAAGTAGCGATACATAAGTCAACATATGTCCTTGTCATGGATATTCGTACAGTATGAGATATGTTCTGAGATACTCATGCCTTGGTATTAGTCTCTTTACCGATAGTTTCCCCGGGGATCAAAGGTGGAAGAGCACCAAATTCCCCGTCCCCTGGGAACGTCTCTGGGACAGCATTTGTCTCTGTAGGGCCCAAGTGTACTGGTCCGGGACCAAAGGGTGCACCAAATGGCCCCTGCGGAAGCGCGAAATTCTTAGTAGTGACGCCAGGTGAGGTTGAGTTGATGGAAGCGGTAGGAATGGTGACATGCAGAGCTTGATCGGTGGCAATCTGGTTCACCGTCACTATGCGACGGGGGTCAAAATATCCGCGAATGCGGGGGTTAGACGGAGGTCGAGGCTCTGTAGCCTGAATGCTGCGGAGTGTAAGACGATCAGATGGCTGAGCAACCACGATGACAAATAGATATTACGTTGCATTAAATGAAGAAGTCACTTTGCTCTCCGCGGGAGCTCCAAAGACGAGGAACCTCGAGTCAACAAGGGAACTGTAAAATAGACCGACAATACCAGACTGCAATTTTCTTCAGTGAGATGGCAGAGCACGAAATTATCATTATTTGCTTACAATTTGGCCGTCGTTGCCGGGAACTTCTAGTTGTCCTTGAACACTGACGCTCGCACCTTGCTCTTCAACAGCAGCACTGCTCTGACCGAGCAACTGCGCCTGATACTGTTCCCTCGAAAGTTGCTTTCCATTGTAAACAACACTGAGATTGCGGGCGAAAAGCGCATCAAACGCTGCGGTGAAATCTGCTTGAGTCTTGGCCGTCAAAATGGCTATGAGATGGGAAGTAGTGAAGGCGGTCAAGGTGGGGAGAACGAGTGCCATGATAGTGGAGATGATGGTATTGATGAAGGATTTTCTGTCGCTGCCCCGTCTTATATAGTCCAGAGAGGGCGCCCACTACATAGTTACGGTGACTAGTATGAATGGCTGCGCAAATACTGCATTCCGCCGCTGTTAAGGCGAATTTGCGAATCGCACTGGTAGCATCACGGGGACCTGGATATGCCGATAGAAGGTGTCATGATGAAGACAAATATTAGTCGTTTCGGTAACTCAACAATTCAAACCTGCATTTTAGATGACGTCCGAGAGCCCCGGATGGATTGCGATGCAGGTAAGTAATGATTAATGAGGTGTCAATGACACTATATGGGCGTTGGTTGAGAACCCGTGCTTGGTCAGACCGGTCATTCCGTGCATGTCGCGTTCTTGTGTGTTCAAAGTCAACACGTTCGAGTGACAAGTCTGTCACACATAGGGCTCTGTCGCAACATAACAAACATAATGATTAGCGATGGGCATCCCTGCGTTGACATGATTACTATCATTTATTACTTGATACTTACCTATAATATTCACCGAGTCAACCGATCAACGTTAACGTGCACGACTTGTCTTGTCATTCGGGCCCGAGGTAATGCGACCTTGTGTTGATCGGGGATGAAGTTAATGGGCGGCCAGTTCATGATTTCAAACTCAGACAGATATTTGCCGAGCTACTAGTTCAGTCAAAAGTTCCTATGTAGTATGACGACCTTCTTTATGTAGTACCAGAACTAACTGGCGCATAAGACTTGGAAGATCGGTGAACAAGTATTAGTCTCGCTCACACCGCCAGTCACAGACTCCTTTAATACCATCCCTTCAAACAGTCTTCCTTTTCGCTGCGAGATCATTGGTTCCAAGTGCCCCTCTGCAAATTCGAGGTGCCAATTCGATTGAACTACACCAGCCGTACCCAAACGAAGCTTAAGTGCAAACAAATAGTGGATGAAAATTACTCACTTCCCGATATACCAACTACCAGCCAGACTATTCGAACCAAACAGAGACGACTGGAAGACGAAGGAAACGAGGTAAGCAGGGACGGCTCCTTCAATAAGATATTGACGCACGTACTGGCGTAAGTACACAAACTCCTGGGGTGACTCAGTTAAACGACCTGTGCACCAGTCTTTTTTTCCAGCTATAAACCCGATATGAACCCTTCTTCCGACGCTGGTTTATTTCCTCGTCTGCACCATTCATTTTCTCTCTTCAGCAGAGACCTAAACCTGCTCATGTCTAATGTCGCGTACCAGACAAGGGGGGAAGCGCTGTGCCATACTCATGGTAGACTTTTTTTTCGAGTCCTTGTTTATTGTCCGTGGGGGTGAAGCCCTATGACAGACATCTATGGTACTCTATGTTCATTTTCGGCATGGGAATCCTGTAAAATCCTGATCCAGGCTTTCGCGATGACGATCAATGTCGTCTTAATGCGATTGGGGGAAGTAGATGGCTAAGCACTTAGCGCATCTGTTGGGTTCGCTTCTACTTCTTTGGGGGGCACCGAAGGTGTTTTCCAGGCGTTTCGTGCGAGCGATGTACTTGAGAACTGACTTAACGCTTTTCCCGTCGTTCAGGAGGCCTCTTAGGTTTTGCGCTCGCGTTCCCAGCTCGGCTTTCAAGGATGCTGTGTCTTGCGTATGCCAGGCATGATAGTACGAAATGATGTACTGATTCCTCTCGTTCTTCGCAGGCCGGACATATCGGGAAGGGTGATCTCGATATTCTGTGGAGATATTTGTTCAGGGGGGATATGTCCTGTGCGAAGTTGGACGAGCAGAGATGGTAGACTTGTAAGTTGAAAGCTTAGTCTGGAACACTAATCGGGACACCGCGTTCCATGTTCATACTGGACGCCAGGCTGCTAAATTTTGAAGAGATGCGTCAGCTTTATTTCAGTTCTAAGGAACAGTGCACTTTCGTTAGTCACACGCGGCTTCACTGAGGACGTGTAGGAAATGTTCAATCTGTATCAAGTCTACGCAGACTCTGCCAAAGTCTGGAGGATCTGGAGACACGTCTGTGGTCGGAAAGTTCCGAGCGTTCAAAGGCCTGCCTGCATGACCGTAACCACTCTGCCGTCTACGTCAGCCACCATCACGCATCCCGCCATCTATGTCAACCGTCATGCCAACCTCGTCATTTTTGTCAGCTTGCCGTCACGACTCTGGTCACCTGGAGGACATAGCAGCCGTAGACCGAGAGCTGCGGGCAATGGCATTACGTTAGGTAAAGATCCTGATGGCGGGTAGGCGGGATATAGTGAGATCGTGCGGTGGCCTTGACTGACTTCCCGACACTTTCTGAATCCGAGAAACTCACTGGCCAGGGCAGGACACCCGTTTGCATAGATCTCACACAGACCGGCCAAAATTCGTACTTTCTGGCTTCCCTGGACTAAATATTCAAGGTTTCCTCAGCGCCACTTTACCTAAGACGATCATATGTTGAAGACTCAGTGCGCGTTTATTTCTCTCACTGTATGGCACACGGCGCAAGAGCTACCTCAAGGGTCCAGAACTGCGCAGAAGCGTTAGATGGGATCGCTCTCAAGGCCACGAGATCAACTAGGAATATATGGGCGAGACCATGGGACAAGAAGGGTTTCCTGCAAGGGATCAAATATTTGATTGTCCGACATCACCTAAGATACACAGCAACGTCCATTAACAGTAATGTCGTGCACGTAGCACAGGGATCTAAACGGGGGTAACGATGGTGTGTATCTATAGGAGAACAAAAGAATACAAGAGAACTGCGACTGAGTCATGAATTTGACGGTCTTCTTTCTGTGCGGAACATAGCGCGAGCGTCGTACTCCGCTCTACCATCCCAAAATCAAAATTCTTAGAAGAACTTCTGTTGATCATTACCGAGAGCAAGATGTATGTGCACGTAGATAGTGGAGTTCCTTTCAGCATGCAAAAACATGACCTCCCTAACTCACGGCAGCCCATCTGAATTGACAGTACTAGAGTATTACATTATGCATATGAATCTCTAATATTAATGACCGGACTCAACTGAAATCGATTTAGAGAAATAAGTCAGGGTCACGTGCGTGAGTTGATGGGAACGCGTCGTCGGAGTCACGAATTAACCTGCAAGTCCACAACCGCCACATCTACATCGGATTAATGATCGATGGTCCACCACATTTGCGCCACATTCGTCGACCGGATATAAGGCAAGCCGAAATCAGACGTTTTCCTTGTCCTCTTACGTTTCTCTCCCTCACCAGCTCTGCTCACAACACTCAGTCAGCGCAATCATTGAACACCTAGCGTCATGTCCCCTGCTGGCGAGACAAGCACATCGGCTACTCCACCACGCGCTAATGCATTAAGTCAAGGTGGTAGTAAACTAGAGTCCACCCCAAACAGCCGTGGGGCTTCCGTCGTTAGCGAAAACATCAGCTTGGTCGGTGTCCAGTACGTACCTTTCTTGCTCTTATGGAGTAGTACTGACGTTCCACGAAGGGTTAAGGAGGTCTGGCCGTGGATTCAGCGGGACATCGAGCAGGCCAAGCAGTGCAAGGCAGATGCCATGCTGCAAGCCCTCCTACAGCGCGCGTCTTGCACGCCGGAGACGAAACAGCCCGAGCTCCTGCAAAAGTGCCTGAAGGAAGTCCTTCCGGTTTGCAATGGACAGGTCTCCGCTGGAGGCATATCGTCTTCGGGCATCGAGACAGCCTTGAAAAAATAGTAAGCGCTCTTTCGATTATTACACCTTTCTACGCTTACAACGATTGCAAGCGCATGTCCAGGAGTAGAAAACGACTTCTACAGCCCTTTTATTGAAGCCACGAATATCGCGCTCGCTTGTCTCGAAGAGATCAAGGTCGACGGAATGTGTGTTCCCGTTACCACCGTGGACATGATCTGTCAACAAAACGATATGCCCATGTACCAAACCCACCAGAAGCTGAAATCAACTCGGAAGCCAGACGCTTTGATTCTTCCTTTAAACAGCGCATGCGCCCCATTCAAGGATGAGAAGGGCGGAAAGAAGAGCAAACAGAAGAGCAAACAGAAAGACAACGAGAAGGGTAACGCGAAGTATAACGAGAAGCACGACGAGAAGCACGACACAAAGCGCAAGGCTCATATGGTCAAGGATGCAAAGGAAAAGCCGCCAACGCCATTCCTCTGGGCAGATGTCCTAGCTTGCATCGAGTTCAAGAGAAAGACAAAAGGGATTAAAGCACCACCCTCTGCGTATACAGCGACAGACTATGTCCCTACCAAACCAGAATATCTGCCGGTGGATCATCTTAAGGCTCAATCCTCTGCGCCAGATCCTTCGCAGACCCCAGAAACACAACCTGCGTCCGACACTGCACGTAAGTGATTTCATTTTTGATTCCAAAATCAAACTAAATCAGCCTAGCAGCAGTTAGATCTTCTGGCCTTACTGCTGCACAGACTTCCAAGGGCGGGTCCAGCTCCAAGCGCAAGGCCGCAGACACTTTGCAATCCGCCGCGAAAAAACCCAAGGGCAACTCCGACGAGCCAGATGTGACGGTTCAGACTGGTCTGTACGCTGCCGAAATGTTTGCGGCCAATCTTGCCGTTCATCATCTGATCAATTTTATTATCATCGGTGGGTTCGTTCATCTGTCGACATTGGTCGCGCTCTTACCACCGCTTTTTAGACGATGTGATCTGGACCTGGTATTATGATCGCCAGGGCACCATTCAAAGCTCTGGCATCAACTTCATTCAAGACCTCCCACGATTCATGGTTCTGCTGTATGCGTTACAACGCTTCAAGGTTCACGATTGGGGCCGAAACAAGGACTTTCTCCCAGTTGAAGTTGAGGGAAAACAATGCCACGAATTCGAAATCAAGGACGAAGATCTTGGAACAGTGGATCTGCTGCTTCATAGCAGCCACGATGAAAGAGTGACGCACTACGGGTTACAAGGACGGGCCACCAATGTGGTCCCTGTCACTAGCGAAGCGCTAACTAAGAAGTACGGCAATTTACAGGATGGGATGGTAGCCAAAATATTCTGGGGAGAGGCAGATCGCACTAGCGAGCCGGAGATCTTGAAAAAGGTTGAGGAGATCGCTAAGAGGCACGCAACTGTCCAAGACCATGTTCCTGAGCTCCTTTGGCACCACACATTCATGCATCCCACGTCCGCCATCCGAGAAGCGCTTGATGTTCCGGAACCCACCACGGGCAGTCGTGTTCTCTACATTCTCGTATTCCGCAAGCTCAAGCCAATCAAGGAGCTCCACGCCCATGAGCTTTTCGACGTGTGGTACCAATGTATTTTATGTACGTGTTTTTGACGCATTTATAAGGCTCTTCGTTGACATGGCGTGCAGGTCACGTCACTCTGTGGAAGGAAGGGGTCTATCATCGTGATGTTAGCCCTGGAAACTTGATGTGGTACAAGAAAAACGGCAGACTGATCGGTGTCTTAAACGACTACGATCTATCTTCATTGGCTGATGACCCGGGTCCACGGGGCAATGAACGTACGGGCACGGTACCGTTCATGGCGCTTGATCTTCTCACCGCGAAGGCTCAACGAGGTGAAGTCAAACACTTATATCGCCATGATTTGGAGTCGTTTGTGTGGGTTTTTACCTGGATTTCCATGCGTTACGACAACGGAGAGCTTCTACCTGGATCGCGCCCCGTTGATGCATGGGCAACTTTCGACGCTGTGACGTGTGGCGAGAAGAAGCAGGCATTCCTGACTTATCTCGAAGACTTCAGACCCTCTCACATAAAGACGGTCGTTTGGTGTTTTATTTTAGCTTGTTTCCAGGTGCTTGACATCGAAGCCTCTAAGCGACGTCAACAACGGCGAGCATTGGTTATCAAGACAGAAGAATCATACCAGGCGACCAACGACGAGGAATCAGTATCAAATATAGATGATTTGCTAGGCAAATTCACAGGCGACATAGCCTGGGTCAAGCTCAGCAACGCTTGCCGTTCACAGTGATTTTCTTTAGTTGTTACACTACATACTGCTTTACGTATTTCGCTACCTGCGTCAGTTACCCATGGAATAGATAGACTCTGGGCATCCTTTGTGTCGTTTTTAGTCTCGTCGTCCCAAAACGGTCATATATCTTGAACCTTGGCCGCCTTTAAGTTTTAAGCTTTACCTGGACCAGCTAGTACCACAGGGAAGACTCATACCTTATACCTTGAATTTTTTTCCATCCCATCCTCAGACATTTTTGACATTTCAGCAAGCTATCTCTTTGGACCAGGAGGTTTCTGTCCGTACCGTGGTATGTTGCTCATGTTGTCAAAAGATTTGCTGTGTCCGCGATTCCGAGTCGTGGTTCACACTAATACCGTGACCGTATCGACGTGCTCTCGGCCAGAATCTTAGACCCGGTTTCTGATATCATCGCTGCGAAGCAAGAGACCGCAAACATATTCCTTACACGTTCAGAAATCTCTTATCTACGGCAACCCGAAAAGCACTTGGCGTTCGAAAAACAACCAAGGGCAGCGCATGCTCTACATCCTCATTGCAGTATTCGCAGTTCCGACCCATCGTGGCAAACACCTTTACGACGTGTAGCATCAATTCATATTATGTACGTGGTTCATTGCGTCTAGTATGTGACTCCCTGTTGAGTTGCGTTGCAGACCACAGTGATATCTCGAACGGAGGGGTCTGTCATCGAGATGTCAGCCCTGATAACATTATGGATTACTTGAAAACAGCATTTTGTTGCGCATCTTCAGTGATTATGATCTGTTGACTGCAGCGGACGAGCGCAATGAGCGCACGGTGGGACAGGCACGGGCTGCAAGGGGAACCAAGGCCAGACCTCTATGGCGGGAGGCTACGGCTCTCTCTATCGAGGACAGACTACGACACGCGCGAGGACTACCGACTACGAGCCAGGACTCCTGCCAGAGCGCCCTGCTCCGACGGGCACAGTGCCATTTGCGCGCTCGATCTATCACTCCGGAGAGCCAAAGAGGCCAAGTCAATCACATCCATCGTCACAATCTCGAGTCATTCGTCTGCATTTTTACCGTGTTCTCCCTGTGTTACTAGGATGACATTATCTGGTCAACGGAGTCTCGTCTCCTCCATCTATGGTAACTGCAGGTGCTGTCGCATATAGCCGCAAGAAAGCATCAGTTTTGAATGACTTTTTCACAACAAATGTCGTTCAGGTTGCATCCATAGATCTAAGCCTGGAAGTCGGTGGTGGAGTGCTCGTCAGCACTCAGAAGAGATCTCGATCGTCGTATAACTATCAACATTGAACTGGAGCTGGCATTAGAACCAGGGGAGGTGGGCGCACGGGTTATGCATTGCATTCCTAACTTACTATCAATCTATTTCCCTGATTTACCGAAGTCGTACATTGCAAGTACGGTCTCGCTATGGTTCAGTAGTCTGATTAATAAGTCACAGTCTACACGCAAATTCTTCTTTAGATTCTATCCGATACCACTGACAGGTATATCTTCGTCTGATACAGGTGTCTAAAGTGACTATGATTTGTTGACATTGTCAACTACGACGGCTAAGCGAAACGGGCGGGCCCCAGCGGATTGGCATGCCATTGTCAATTTGTATCGTTGTGATGTCGAGTGAGTACTTCTTCGGAATTTGTGTGCGTTACAAGTGCGGAGTTATCTGACCTTGCCGGCCTCAGCAATCGAGCCCAAGGCTTCGATTCACGAGAAACTCTATGCGCTGTAGCCCGGGCATGTGGCAAGGGGAAGTCATGGCAGAATGATCCGGCACGCTACGGACTTTGAAAATGTGTGTGCTCACTAGTCTATTAGTGAACAGCCCGCCAATAAATACCCTCAGCCATCATGATGAAGAAAGAGCCGCGGGATGGCAATTTTTTTGGGGAGAATCATGGAAAATGATTCTCAGATGGCCATGTTCCTCAACTGGTTCGGCCACAAGTTCACAAATTCCATGTCAACAGTCCAAAACGCCTCAATATGCACTCCAGCACCAACCACGAGCAGTCACGTACTCTACATCCTCGTGTTCCATACGCTACACCCCATCACGAAGCTTTACGGAAAAGAGCTTTTTGGCGTCTGGCGTGTATACTATGTACGTGTTTGATTAAACTGGTGTGGCTCTTCGTTGACATACGCGCACAGGCCACCTTATTCTGTGGAAGGAAGGGGTCTATCATCGGAATGTCAGCCCTGGAAACATGATGTGGTACAGGAAAAACGGCAAACTGATTAGTGTCTTAAATGACTACGATCTATCCTCGTTGGCGAATGCATTGGGTCCTCAGGGAAACGAGCGTACGGGCACGGTACCGTTCATGGCGCTCGATCTTCTCACCAAAGAGAGTCAACAAGGCCAAGTAAAACACCTATATCGCTACGATCTGGAATCGTTTATGTGGGTTTTCGCCTGGATTTTCTTGCGTTATAGGCAGGGAGTCCTTCTACCGCGGAGATTGCGCCCTCTCGACGAGTGGGCGACCTTAGACGCTATTGCATGTGGCGAGAAGAAGTCAGCCTTCCTGACGGGTTTTATCAATTATCTACCCACGGACCTCCGAACTTCTCAATCGGCCATAGATTTGTCTTTATTGGCTCTCCTTGTGGACTGTTTTCGGGTGCTCCAGGCAGCTAACTCCAATCGCGTCGATGCCATCTACCATAACCTCGGAGTTGAGCTGGGATGGACGGAAGGCACGTACGAGCAGATAGATGCCGAGGAAACAGTGTCGGATATGGATGATTTACTAGGCAAATTCACAGGTACCAAGACGTGGGTTAAGCTCAGCAACACTTTACCTTTATAGTGGTCGTTACACCACATATCGTTTTCTGGGTTTCGCTACCTGTGTCAGTTACTCATGGAATGGACGGATGTTACATATAGATCATTCTTTGTAGTTCTGTCGTCCCCAAACCATCAAACATAGTACGTGCGTTTGTTCTGACAAATTGATATAGTGCTAGAGTATATAGATAGATAGATCTTCAATATTGGTACGACTGAAGTGAAATCGATTTCCAGGCGTCAAATAAGTCAGACCTGATAGGAAAATCCACCACTGAAGTATATATTATCACAACGTAAGTCTGCATTATGCTGCAAAAATGATTATACAACTTGAGTCCTAACATTTTCCAGAAACCAAGTTAGTGTCGCAGCACCTTGTCGCGCAGCTGGGCGTCACGGCATATCGCAGCACCTTCTTTCCGCAGTAGTCGCAACAGTGGCACAGCATCGTCATGATGCCCTATTTTTAACAAATTGAGACGCTGGCACTACCTGAGTACAAAAGGTCCTGCACCCCATGAGAGAATAACAGCATTTCGCCGGTCAAAAAATGACGTTCATGAAATCCAACTCCAAAGGTGTCGCTGTCGTCACTGGATCCGCGCAAGGAATTGGACGCGGCATCGCAATACGCCTTGCAGGAGACGGCTATGACATCGTGATCAATGACTTGGAAAGTAAGAAAGACAACTTGGAGGAAGTCAAGAAGGAAATCATTGCCAATTTCCCGGAGCGGAGAGTGCTTACTGTGCTTGGGGATGTCACCATCGAGGAGGATGTCAAAGGCCTGATTGAAAGTGCGGTTAAAGAGTTTGGCAGTCTATGGAAAGCCGGACGCGCGCGCTCCGTTACATGATGTGACACGCACCAAATGAGGTAGTCACATGGTTGGGACACCGGACACCTCGAACACAAGAAAATTTTATAGTACCATACAGTCCGACGAGTACATTTTGCTGCAATCTAATGTTCTACTTCATCATCGTTCACTTCCTTGTCATTCTCGTCATTCTCGTCATTCACTTCCTTTACAAATGCTTTCAGCCCAAAACCAGGCCATTCACAATACTCATTGCAGGCATGCTGGGTTTCAAAATTGCTGACGGACGCCTCGATATTTCCATCGCCAAAAATATCACTCCCATTGCTGACCGACCTATCCGAACATCAGCATGTCAAGGTATTGAGTATCCGAACGGATAAAAAGACATACGGATCGGTCATGATTTGAGGATCCGTGAGTAGTACTGTACTCCCTGAATACAATGTTTCATTCCAGCCGAGCATTGTGTATCAATGAGACGTACCCTGATAGTCAGATATGAATGCGAGTTGGCTGGTCTTGACGTACTGGACGTGCTGTGTGAAAGCAAAAAATTCTGCCATGTTGTAGCCATAGTCCAATTCATCGAGCAATGGATTGGCATCCATATTGTGGATGAATTTGAGAAATGTATCATCACCACCCTCAATGAGCTCTTCGAGGAGGAAGGCAGCTCGCATTGACCCCGTCTTTGCTCCAGACTTGCTACCACCCTGACTGTAGCACAATGCGAGGCCAGCTTCCACAAATCAAACACGTGGGACCACAAATGGCGGGGGTTCGGGTGAAGATGCGATCGAACGATCAATAAAGTCGTATGTGAGCTGTAATAAAGATTTGGACCAATATAAGACGTTGGCTTCCCTGAATAACTTGGGTAGCTCGTCAGCGAGTGCATACTGGCCGACTTTATAATGTCCAGCCTTCACGGCAGTTGGAAATACTTTATAGAATGGACGTTTGACCACAACCTTATGACGAGGGGCTGATCCGAGACCGGTCCTGGGAGAAGCTGTGAGTGTAAGCCATCCAGCATGCGCGGTCTTGAAGCCACCAATTCCAATGAAGCCTTCCGTCGACATATCAATAGTCAGCTGTCCAATGGACGACTCAGCTGTGTCCACCGAAAACGAATGATACTGTGTGTTTCGCAAGAGATCGGTAATGGCACGGGTAGGGATGTGGTGGAATTGAACGTTTTCGTTCTGTAGTCCAAAAACTGTAAAATAATAGTAAGCGCTCGCCGCTGACACAATTTGAGAAATTGATGAATGTATGTACCTTTCTTTACATTTAAGTTGGCACTTCCTCCGATCTTCAAGACTTCTTTGAGTCGATCCCGATCGGGTGAACAGAGAGCTGCAGGAGGTACATTCTTCTTTCGAGGTGGAGAGGAAGCACCACTGAGACCGCTAGAGCTTTCAGCACGCTGGTGGGTTCTCTTGGTAGAGACTGTCGTAGAATTGTCACCGGTGGTCACTGAGGGCAAGAAAAGCTCATTCTCGGCTAGCGAAGTCGTTGCTAATGAGGGAACATGTCATATCCCGCATTCCGGACCAACATCTGACGACGTTCCCACGCCTCATCCGGACCTCCTGTCCATGTCTCCAGACCCAATCCTCTATCCGTCCGGATCCCTGTACTCCTGCATCTGATATCCGGACGCCAGATCTGATATCCACATCTCCGGATCTCCGGATCCGACCTATCTGTCATGTCCGAACCCAAACCTTAAATCAGCGCCCATCCCCTTATGGTAATCACCTGTCTCCGGACTTCCAAACATCCGGACCCGACCCACGTCTATCTTCCTTGCGTTCCGGACCCAGACCTATCACGCATTCATCTCCGGACATCCGGATCCGACCCGCGTCTATCTTCCGTGCCTTATCCCTTTGTATGTTCCTTCTTGAGTTAGACTTCCTCATTTTCCGTACCTCATTTCATCTCCGAGTTCATTTCCTATGATCCGTCTTATTTTCTAATACATTTCCACATGCTCGCACATAGCCTTACCCCTCTGCTTACTGATCTGCACAGACTTGCCTCTAGTATATAAACCCCAGTAGATACTCCTGTATTTCCTCAGTCTGAATATCATACACATATTAGTCCTCGCACTAGTCTTCACACTAAGTCCTCGTAACAGTTCTATTCCTCCGACTTAGTAATCATCCATCTCAGGCCTAGGGAGGAATTCCCTAGGCCGGAGCTCTGCTCCTCCGCTCCTCCGCTCCTCCGCTCCTCCACTCATCCACTCATCCGATCCTCCATTCCTCCGAGTTTCCGGATGTTCCTCCGGAACTTTCCCGCGGTCCTCCGGACCTATTCTGCTTCGGACTTTGTCCTTGCAGCCTTTCCTCTGTTTCCTTCTACTCAGGACTTGTCCTGAGTAGCCATTACACATATCCCCGTCAGGACGAAACTCCATCGTAATTTCCGGAAGTTCCTCCGGAACTTTCCCGCACTCATCCAGAAGTTTCTCGCACTCGTCCGGAAAGTCCTTCCGAAGTTTCCCACGCTTCTCCGGAAGTCCTTCGGACTTCACTGGACTTTCTCCGGACTTCATTCTGAAGTTAAGGGCACATACTCGGGTAAGGGGCGCAGCGCATGAGCTGAAGCCAAGCCCCTTGGAATCAGTCCTACCCTTTGTGCATGGTCTTAACAGTATATTCAGACTCACACCTTACCGAGTATACTGAATCCTTAGATCATACCTGAAATCGGATCCGACACCGTCCCTTGGAAACTGTGTATTCCTCCTCCGAACCCTCCATTTTCCTGTATCCCATTTCCGATGAAAACTCCGGATTTTCCGGAGCTCATTCTCCATTCCCTGCATCTGTAAACATCTGCCGGAATGCTCAATTTCCACCCTTCATGCTCTGCTGTCATTTCCACTTCAGTATCATGACACTCCGGTCCTGAAACCAAACAGGATTGTCACCTCCGTGGCAGAACAAATAGGTTTTCGGACTTGATGTCCTGTAATTCCCTGATCCAATCCTATCTTTCCGACGCCCCACAGTTCCCTGTAACTCCGATGTTTTCCGTTTCCGAACTATTTCCTGAACTGGCAAAGTCAACTCCGGAATGTCCCAAACATTCAACTCATTTGGATTCTCCTCGTACCACCTAGAATATACTTGCTCACCCACCATGATCCGTTGATCAATAGGGTATTTTGCAGACCTCCTTTCCGATTGGTACTACAGGAAATGCCTTAGACCTCCGACGTCAAATCCGCTTTTTTGCGGAACCCCTATCTTCGGACTAGCCATGTTTTCCTTCCACTGGTTGATTTCCAGTCCGCCTCCATGTTGGATGGCACCTCCTCCGGTCAAAGTCCGGACCCCTATCTACCATTCCTATCCGCAACCTGATTAGCATTCACCTTGTATTGGTCTCCACTACCCTCCTTGTAGAGGAACTCCGTCTTTCATGATGATTTTCCTGCCAAGTGTTCGGGTTTTGATTCCTCTGACAAAGGCCCGCTCAGGTTCCTGCCTCCGAATCCGGATGGCACTCTTTCCTCCGCTCTAGCCCCTATTTTCCCTTCCACCGCCCGGAAATTCTTTGTTGATTCTCCTCCGACATTGGGAATGTCTCCTGAAAGGGAAAATAGGAATTTTGCTTCCGTTACATCCTATGCAAATTCCTGACCATTTCCTGGCTTCATTATCCACCTCCGGACCTTCGAACCAAAACTCCGGAGCTCCTCCGATTCATTCTCCGGAAGTAGGTCCTGGAAAACCATCTGTTCCTCTCCAGAAGCCTGTCAGTTCTTACATCCGACATCCCGTCCGAATCAACAACTTTCCGAACGTCTCCGCGTTTTACCCCTATTTTCCGGAGTTTGTAACTCCGGATTTCTATTGGCTTTCTTGGTGAAGGTCCCCACCCCTCGGATCCATACCTCTGGTTTCCTCCTTGTCATCTCTGAACTTTTCCGGATCAGAATGAACATGCTTTGCGATTGATCTTTACTGTTACTGGTACCACGTCCACTCCAGTTCCTGCCCATTTTCCTCCGGGTCCAGGAAATTGTTGAAGATAGCTCCAGATAGCTTCGGATAAGCATCGGATAGCTTCGGATAAGCTCCGGATATCTTCGGATGTCCAGACTTTTCAGTACCAAAGTATTCTTTTGCATTATAGCTCTGGATAGCTTCGGATAACTTCGGATAGCTTTGGACGTCCAGACTTCTTCAGTACCAAAGAATTCCTTCGTGTTATAGCTCCGGATAGCTTCGAATAGCTTCGGATAGCTTCGGACATCCGGACCTTTCAGTACCAAAGTATTTCTTCACATTATAGCTCATCCGTCCATTCTGTTGTCAAATCTCCATGTTTCCGAAAGATCTGTTCACTCCTCCGCTCCAGGACAAGTTACACCTGCTCCGGATCCGAAACACTCCTATGGGTATTCCATGCCATAGCCCGGACATGTTTTATACAATTGTCCATCCTCCGTCCTCACTTTTCCACTCTGCAATCCTTCCATCCGTCCTCCCGTCCTTTTTTCTCCGGATACCAATGTCCGACCTTTACCCCTATTTCCGGAGCTCCATACTCCGGATTTCCGGTGGCTTTCTTCATGGAAGCTCCTACTCCTACCTCCAATGCACCCCTTGTCTCTGGACCGCCTCCATTTGGAATGGATATACTTTGCAATAGCTTGGAGTTGCTTCGGACCCGCTTCCGCTCCTGTCTTAAAATCCCTCACCATTCAATAGTGTCTTCTCTGGAATCTGTTTCGGATCCGGAAAAGCACTGGTGATACCTCCGAAGTTTTTAGCACTACAGTCCTGCGTTGCATTGTATCTTCCGTTCCATTCTGTTCACTCTTGTGACTCACGTCCAGTTTCCTCCGAAAATCCGAAGCTCCTGCCGGAACCCTGTGCCCATTTTTCCTCCATTGATGTTTGGAAACATCTTCCAAAAGGGGGGATAGGGACTCCGCTTGAGTATTCACTTCACCCTCTTCAGCTTGTATTCCATCCGGAATTTACTTGCTCCGTCCCATAAAAGAACAATTTCCACTGTCCTGCACAGTCATTCATGCATGTGCAGCTTTCCTATCCGACCCATGACCTATCCGGACCATTCAGTTGTATTTCCGGCCGGATCAGCTCCGGAAAACCGCGGGAAAAGCGCACATTACATTGCATATCATTCGAAAACATCCGGAACTATTCATCCATGATCTTTCTAGGCCATTGATAGTCATCCGATGCATTTGACTTCACTGCCTAGTGTTCCATCGTGTTTGACTGCACTTCCACCTCACTTCCTCTATGTTCCGATCCACCTCCTATGGGTTTCCACGCCATAGCCCCTATCATCCGGAACTCCGGAATTCCGAACCACTTGCAAACACCTCTGTCCTATCGCATATGTCTTGTCCGATGATCCGCTTTTCCGACTCAATATCCGTTCTGACTCCCATCGGATATTTCACCATAGACCCTGGCATTGCCAAACACTTACGTCCGGACCTCCTATCATGTTTTCCGACCACATCCGACCCTAATCTGACAAACCCACTTCCAAGTCCACTGTGTCACCTCCACCGATAAAACCGACTATATATCCCTAGTTAACGCAGTCGCCTGTTGCAGGACTTGCGAGCTAGAAGAAGCCGGTCCATTTCAATATCCACCTCCACCTGACCAGTGTTGACCTCCGGACCATTGATTTCCAGTCTGTTGCATCCCTTCCGAAACCTCCTGGAAAGCATTTCCGGAGTTCCATCGGAAAATCGTGTCTTTGCAGATGTTGTCAATCCACGCAATCTCCGGCCCATCAAACAGCTTGCTCCGTCCTTTATGAGCCTATACACTAGCTATCCTTTTGCTCTAGCAGCTGTACCAATGGATATCGAATATTCCGGAAAGACATCCTCTCTGTACTCCCATCCTTCCTCTGCATTTCCGACCCTCCGCGTTTTTGACCCTTTGTGTTTCTGATCTCCATGTTTCCGACCCATTCCTCCGCTATCATCATCCTTCCGTCCGACTCCTGTTGGTTCCCACGCCATAGCCCTACTCCGGACCATTTGGATCCATCCGCCCCATCATCAGGATTTCCATCCACCATGCGTGTTTATCAAAAAGCCTCGCACCGGGTGCAAAATCCTGCTATTTGCATTAACTTTCAGTGCACCTGGAAACTCCGCCCATGACCTCTCGCAGTGTGCAACCAAAGCTCCGGAACATTTCCGGTCTTAGGGGCTAATTTCCGGAAGCTCACAGTCATATCCAGCAGATTCCTCTGACGCACTTCCGGCTCGAGTGATAGCACACATCGCTGATTGAAATCCATTCAACCTCAGACCTCCGTACAAAGGAAATCACGCCTCATAGCACTCCTTTCTCACTTCCTGCACTCCAGAAGTTCATCAGTCATCATGCGATTACATCTCCGATCATTTTCCGGTCATAGGGGCTAATTTCCGGATTTCTGATGATGCACTTATCCTTAGCTGTACCTCAGTACAAGCTCTGCTTCATGGAGAAAGATATGTCTCACAGGACTCCTCCGTCACATCAGAAAGAGGCCTGCATCGCATCCACTCTTGCCCTCTTGTCCTGCACTCGCTGCATTTCCACTGCCCTGATACAACCTCCTCCGCTCTGAAAGCTTCCTCCGATTTTCCCACGCATTTTCCGGACTTCCAGTCACCTTCGGAATTATCCTCAAAGTGTTCCAGACTTCCACTCCGGAAACCTATTTGTCCTCACACCACATCACCATTCTTCACCACCGTCTATGATGTCCAGTTTCCAGATGAAGTACTAGGCATCATAATGAACCATGTGTGTGTCAGGAACATTTCCGAAACCTCCGGAGATTTTCAGCTCATAGGAACCAATCCTCCGGAATCCATCCATCATTGTCCTCTGCCATATACCAGCAATCTCCGTTCCAGACATCCTGAGTCTTCAGCCTCGAGGGCTCGGCCTTAAAGGGGGGATACTGTCATATCCCGCATTCCGGACCAACATCTGACGACGTTCCCACGCCTCATCCGGACCTCCTGTCCATGTCTCCAGACCCAATCCTCTATCCGTCCGGATCCCTGTACTCCTGCATCTGATATCCGGACGCCAGATCTGATATCCACATCTCCGGATCTCCGGATCCGACCTATCTGTCATGTCCGAACCCAAACCTTAAATCAGCGCCCATCCCCTTATGGTAATCACCTGTCTCCGGACTTCCAAACATCCGGACCCGACCCACGTCTATCTTCCTTGCGTTCCGGACCCAGACCTATCACGCATTCATCTCCGGACATCCGGATCCGACCCGCGTCTATCTTCCGTGCCTTATCCCTTTGTATGTTCCTTCTTGAGTTAGACTTCCTCATTTTCCGTACCTCATTTCATCTCCGAGTTCATTTCCTATGATCCGTCTTATTTTCTAATACATTTCCACATGCTCGCACATAGCCTTACCCCTCTGCTTACTGATCTGCACAGACTTGCCTCTAGTATATAAACCCCAGTAGATACTCCTGTATTTCCTCAGTCTGAATATCATACACATATTAGTCCTCGCACTAGTCTTCACACTAAGTCCTCGTAACAGTTCTATTCCTCCGACTTAGTAATCATCCATCTCAGGCCTAGGGAGGAATTCCCTAGGCCGGAGCTCTGCTCCTCCGCTCCTCCGCTCCTCCGCTCCTCCGCTCCTCCACTCATCCACTCATCCGATCCTCCATTCCTCCGAGTTTCCGGATGTTCCTCCGGAACTTTCCCGCGGTCCTCCGGACCTATTCTGCTTCGGACTTTGTCCTTGCAGCCTTTCCTCTGTTTCCTTCTACTCAGGACTTGTCCTGAGTAGCCATTACACATATCCCCGTCAGGACGAAACTCCATCGTAATTTCCGGAAGTTCCTCCGGAACTTTCCCGCACTCATCCAGAAGTTTCTCGCACTCGTCCGGAAAGTCCTTCCGAAGTTTCCCACGCTTCTCCGGAAGTCCTTCGGACTTCACTGGACTTTCTCCGGACTTCATTCTGAAGTTAAGGGCACATACTCGGGTAAGGGGCGCAGCGCATGAGCTGAAGCCAAGCCCCTTGGAATCAGTCCTACCCTTTGTGCATGGTCTTAACAGAACATTGCAACTGACGGCTTTGTGAGCAGTCGTGTGCGCAGTGGCATGTTCGCTAGACTGCGTACAGCTTGTTCGGGTAGCTTCCGCTTCCTGGACCGCAAAATCATGGTTAGTGTTGGTAATCAGACAAGACAACATCCAAAATGCATACCATTTTGGCACGAAGTTCCAACCAATTTTCATATTCGTTCCATTGAACCTCTGGGACAACGACCATCAGTGCAAATTGTTTAGACTTGAAAGTTGATTTGGTGCCTTTGCGAGATGGCTGCAGGCATTGATCGTAGAAATAAGGGACAGATCGCGGGTGATCGGATAGATCCACCCATGCAGCATCTCGGATGATGAACTCCTCGACACACCAGATAAATTCTCCACCGAATTTGCGTAACTTTGGGACAATGGTCTCCAATGCTAGCTCAACGAGTCTAGGCGCATCGATTTGAGCGTCGATGTCCTTCTTACCCTCACATATATTCTAAGCTGAAGTGTAAGCAAGCCACAGTATATTTCAAATGTAGACATACTCCAATAGTGACTCCGCCTTTTTTGCGAGCTCCAGCACCTTCATGAACCGCAGTAATTTTAAGCAAAATTGTCTCTGCTAGAGATGAAGCATATGTGATTTTGCCCCAGCGGTCACGCTCAGCAGCGTAGAGAACATGTTGTGATGAATACCCAATGGCACCGGCACCCGTAAACAGAGTTGTTGATGAATCGTTCCATGATGTAGGAATTCTAACATCTGGCCCTCCAGTGCGGGAGCTGCCGGGTACAGCAACCACCGGAGGCGGATTAGGTGTTGCTGTTATGATATAAATAAGATCACCACGGTAACACAAATCTGTAGCTTACATTTGCGTTGCGCTGCATTCACAGATTGCTGTATAGTACGTGGATCAGGAGGGATGCGGTATTGCAAGGTTCGACCACCTAAGTCAGTAGTCTGTAATCCAGCAACTTGTTGATTGACGGTGATTGCGTACCAGTAGGTCTCACCGAAGTGGCTTGTTTCTTCTCGTAATGCAAGTGGCAGGATGCGCACACATAGCGCCCACGTTGACCTGGCTCGATTGTCGCAACATAGAAACACGGCTCTCCAGTCCTAATATTAGCCTGGCAAGACGGACGGTCGCAAATTCAGTCTGCTTTGGCATAGGCATCCTTGGTGTATTGGGTGAGAAGTTCATAGTCTGACATGGTGCTCTGAAGGCAGCATACTAAGTGGGTGCCAGGCAGCTTAAATATTGGGCATAAGTATGAGGTACCGCGGAAATTTGGAGTAGCTCAGGAGTAGCTCAGAGTTGAACTGCAGACTGGAAGGTAGTACTAAACATGAGGTACTGTCAGGAATGGAATTTGGAGTAGCTCAGGAGTAGCTCAGAGTTGAACTGCGGACTGGAAGGTAGTAGTAAACATGAGGTACTGTCAGGAATGGTAAGCAACAAGCAACACTGTCACGCCAAGTCAGATTTCCTTCAGGTGACACCAAACAACTAGCAAGCGGAGGACCCTGTCCGTCACGCCAAGTCGGATTTCCTTCAGGTGAAGGACCCTGTCCATCACGCCAAGTCAGATTTCCTTCAGGTGACACCAATCGCCGAGTCGGATTTCTTGGATAGTGAACATGCTGCTAAATAGGTGTGTCAGTGGGCTGCACATGAGTTCAGACATAGGACGCACTATCAGACTCTTAATGTGAACGGTTTTGGGGGTGGGACCAGGTGGGTCTTAACCTCGTCATCTTGCTTCTGAGTCCGGGATCTGTTGGCTGCGGTGTGTACCTCTGAGGCAGCAATCTTGCTTCTGAGTCCGGGATCTGTTGGCTGCGGCGTGTACCTCTGAGGCAGCAATCTTAATGGTAAGAATCGCTTGGAATCCATATGATAGATGTGCGATGAAATTTTACCTTGAAGTCTTCAAAGGCTGGTTGAGTTACTTCCATTGCACGGATGATGTTTTCTTGAGGGCCAGACACTAGCTTGCGAAATTCCACTGGCGTCGGTCGTGGTATGCCAGTGAGATGGTCGGTTCAGACTTATGGCAGCGGGGCATGAGTGGCAAAGCCAGAACATTATTTGGGAGTTTACAGAACACCAGATTCAAGATCCACATGCGCATCTGCAGCTCGCAAGGCACGAGCGGGGCATGAGTGGCAAAGACAGGATGTTTGGGACAAGTCCGGGCATGAATTCCTGTGTGGCCGCGGCATGAACTCCTGGACTACTGAACTAGGTAAGCCCAAAGCAAGTCACTACTAATATAAAGGTGACAACGCAAGCCTAGTTGCAGCCAGTAAGCGTGCTGCAATGCCCAACCAGAACAAACCTACACATACGTACCTTTCAAGTCACTCCCACTAGTGTAACTTCATTCTGAACTCTAAGCAGCACCACTGGATGAAATCGCACCCCATATCCTTCGACTGTGGAAGGCCCGCCAGACTGATCGGCAGATCGTTCAGGAATTACAAAAGCATATCGACACCAATCGTTATGGTATTGGGTGAGCAGTGTTTTAATTTGAATCTTGTTATTTACGTCAAATGATCATACACTAGGCTTACCACACTTCTCAAAATTCGCAAAACCATGGGTCTTCAATGGACCCACAAACAGGGTCACACGGTTGAAACTATTCGTGATGTGATGCTTGCTTTACGTGCTACCTATCTGAATGCTGGAGCCCACGAGATGGTGAGCTTGCTATATCATGAAAGAGAAATGAGTGTTGCTAGGTTATACATTTATCTATACATCATAAGCGCTGATTGCTGACCTGTGCACCTTAGGAGGGTTGTGACAGAATACTTTGCTTTGTATGAACCGGAACTTGTTCGTTACCGTAAGGCTTGTCGCCTTCGAAGAAGATGCTTCTGGGCAGCAGGCATGAACGACTTATTCGCGGTCGATCAGCACGATAAGTGGTTGAGATTTGGTCTCAGGTTGCACACTGGCATTGAGCCTTTCTCCGGTCGCATAATGTGGATTCAGGTATGGCATTCCAACCGAAATCCACAACTCATTCTGAGTTACTACCTCGACACAATCGAGGCTCTCGGTCGTAAGTGTTTCATAATTTAAACTTTAAAGCATGAACCTAGATTAATACAATATTAGATATGCGGATGGTCACTCAAAGTGACCCCGGGTCTGAAAATTACGGGATCGTGAACGCCCACACCATGCTGCGACAGTGGCACGACGAAGCCTTGCATGGCACACTCCAGCATTGTTGGATGCGAAGCAAGAAAAACATCATGCCGGAGATTACATGGTCTCAGCTGCGCCGCCGGTTCACACCCGGATTCGAGAGTCTTCTAGATCATGGTGTTAATTCTGGTTGGTATGATTCCGGTAATACCCTTCAAGTGTGCGCCATTTTCCTTTTCTTCGAGTGTTGGTCATAATGTTCATCTGCAGGATGGTTTTCCGTTGGGTGTTCATACCATGGCTCCAGCAGGAGCTGGATGCATATCGGGATCGTGTTAACAACACGGCCAAGCGCCGTGACCGTAACAAAGTATGTGCCACTCCCACAAGTATCTTTGCATTGACGTGCCATCTAGATTCTTCCTCATGGAGTACCGAATATCATCTACCATTCAGCTGAGGACTTCGGTGCTTTAGATTTCAAGGTATGTGTTACATCAATTCGGCCATTGTCAAATAGTACTCTAATCTCAACACTATCATAGATTAAAATCGAACACGAGGCCCTAGTTTATGTCCGAAACCTTTACATCAAGTCTTCTCATTGTGTGTTTGACCTGGTCCCAGAGGCTTTCGGCAAATGCATCCAGCGTCGTTATGATGATCTTGGTCGCCCGGTTGTCATGCGACAATCAGCCTGGGACACATATCAGCTTTTACTAGATGCACTCTGTGTCGCTGACGAGTTGCCAGGCCAGATTCAGCCGCTGGATGATGAAGACGAAGACTTTGTTCCACTTTTAGACGACTATCAAGACTTACCTTCTCGTGAGGAGCCTGATGGCGCCTATTACATGGGCGGTGTGGGAGGAGGCATTGGCCTTGGTTTGTCGTCTCCAATCTCAATGGTGCAAATGCTGATTTGGATGTTTACTAGATACTGAACACCTTCATCAACTAGATATTCTTTCGTCTAATGATGAGCCACCTGATGTCACACTCGGGACTGATGAAAACTTGGTCGGTCTTGATCATGCCGGTTTGGTGATTTGGGAGTTCTTGGACTGTGAAAGCGACGATGAAGCAGATAAATGGTGATTTTCCTTCCGTTGTGTACATATCTCATGTATATATTTAGTATTCTTGGATGGCAGTATGCGGAGTCCTACTGCCCGTTATGGATGTGTGACGCTTATTAATGAGCGTGCGCGTCCAGCTTTCCATAGCAGTCTGAATGTTGTGAGTTGTTTACAACTGCTGGTACCTGTTCAGCAAGTTGAATCACAAACTTTTCCTATCAAATAGTTTGTTGCAAACGCAGGCATTTGCAAACCAAAATTGCTCATAGAAAGTAAGTTACAGTCGACATACTACCAGGACTTACTGAAACCCTGTCGCAGCGACATCCGATGATTTTGAGTCCGTGCTTGCTGTCAACATCAAAGGCACCTTCTACAGTTATAAATATGCAGCACAGCAGATGATAGCTCAAGGTGAGGGTGGGCAAATTGTCGGTGCAAGCTCCCTTGCGGGAAAGAAAGGCAGGTCTACATATGCGGTTATTCCTTCGTGTACGGTGACATATCTTTTAAGGGGATGCTTCACTCAGCGCTTACTGCGCATCCAAGTTTGCTGTCCGAGGGTTGACACAATGCGCAGGTACAGTGTACTTAGTCTCACGAGCACCCAACCTCAGTAACCTTCTTTCTAAGCTATCGAACTTGGTCACAACGGAATCACAGTGAACGCATATGCTCCAGGAGCAATTCAAACACCAATGCGTAAGTTTCGAGATTTGTGCGTTAATATCATTACGATGGTAACTTTTACCTCGTGTAGTTACTGGGTTGGTTGAATCAGCTGATTACAATGAGGTGACCCTCAACCAATGTGCATGAAATGTGAATTTTGACAATTTTTTTTCATACTTTAGTTCAAACGGTTGTCATCGGTAGGCGACATAGGAACTACCCAGGATGTTTCGAGCCTGGTTTCATTTCTGGTGACCCCGGAAGCACGTTTTATCACAGGTGTGTATATTTTACATGGCCCATGTTTCATAGGCTCGTAACTGATGGGTGTAATGTGTTGCTTCGCAGGTCAAACAGTGAGCATATTCTCATCCGTACCGAGGGACGCAATCTGATATGATTCTCGGACAGATATCGATTGACGGCGGTATCTTCTTTGATTGATGGACTATGGTGGACTACAGTAACATTATTTTGCCGTCTGAACAATGCAGATCTTCTTACCCGTACCCACAATGTAAGCCTCATTCAGGGCTATGATCTGCCCAGGGTCCATGCTCCAGGCAGTAGTATCAGAGACCATAGTGATCATGTGTGTAATTCTGTTAGAATCGATGTCAATACTTGCTTGATTGTTTACATTATCTTCAAATGGCTTGGGATGTTCACCCGAACGCCTCTTGATCGATGTTGAGCAACTTGGATCACCAGTCGCGTGTTTTCCTCCCAGACCCCCCATCAACGCTGCCTCTGGCGCTCTGTCAACGAATAATGTTAAGGGACCCTATTCAAAAACAAAAACTAAAGTCCTGCTCTATCTATGGTCTTCCCGTCAAAGACACCTCCGTCCAAACCTCGAGTGTTGCCCATAAAAGCAGCTTAAATTCTGCAAGGGACACATGCCTTCCCCTTTTGTCTCTTCTGATGAAGATTTATTCATGGTACGGACTTCAGTGAAATTGACGTATGAGATTTAAGTCGAGGTCACATGCACGTGTTGATGGGAACGCATCGTCGGAGTCACGAATTAATTAAACTGTAGGTCCACAACTGCCACATCAATCCACATCAAATCAATAATCAATGGTCCACCACATTTGCGCCACATTCGTCAACCAGAGGCAGGAAGCAGTCGGCTTTCTTGTCTTCTTAGTTTTTTCTCCCTCACTAGTAGCTCTGCTCACAATACTCAGTTGGCGCAATCACTGAACACCTAGCGCCATGTCCCCTGCTGGCGAGACAGGCACATTGTCTACTCCGCCACGCGCCAATGCAGCAAATCAAGGTGGTAGTAAAATAGAGTCCACCCCATACAGCTGTGGGGCTTCCGTCGTCAGCGAGAACATCAGCTTGGTCGGTGTCCAGTACGTACCTTTCTTGCTCTTATGGAGTAGTACCTGATGTTTCATGAAGGGTTAAGGAGGTCCGGCCATGGATTCAGCGGGACATCGAGCAGGCCAAGCAGTGCAAGGCAGATGCCATGCTGCAAGTCCTCCTACAGCGCGCGTCTTGCGCGCTGGAGACGAGACAGCCTGAGCTCCTGCAAAAGTCCCTGAAGGGAGTTCTTCCGGTTTGCAATGGACAGGTCTCGAATGGGACGGTAGCCAAGATTTTTTTGGGAGAGGCTGGCCGCACTAGCGAGCCAAAAATCCTGGACAAGGTTGAGGAGATCGCTAAGGTGCACCCGACTGTCGAAGGGCATATTCCTGAGCTGTTCTGGTATCATGCGTTCACAAATCCCGCGTGCGCCATCCGAGAAGCCCTTGGTGTTCCAGAATCCAGCATGAGCAGTCGCATGCTCTACATTCTTGTATTCCGCAGGCTCTACCCCATCACGAAGCTTCATGGCAAGGATCTTTTCGACGTCTGGCATCAGTGTATCTTATGTACATGTTTGATTCAGCTTATGTGGCTTTTCGTTGACATAGCCTACAGGCCACCTCACTTTGTGGAAGGAAGGTGTTTATCATCGAGATATCAGCCATGGAAGCTTGTTGTTGTACAGGAAAAACGGCAGACTGATCGGTGTCTTAAATGACTACGATTTATCCTCTTTGGCGAATGCAGTGGGTCCTCAGGGAAACGAGCGTACGGGCATGGTACCGTTCATGGTGCTCGACATTCTCACCAAAGAGGGTCAACAAGGCAAAGTGAAACACCTATATCGCCATGATCTGGAGTCATTTATGTGGGTTTTCGCCTGGATTTTCTTGTGTTATAGGCAGGGAGTCCTACTGCAGAGATCACGCCCTCTTGACGAGTGGGCGACTTTGGACGCTATTGCGTGTGGCGATAAGAAGTCAGCCTTCCTGATGGGTTTTATCAATTATCGACCCCTGAACCTCCAATCGACCATAGATTTATCTTTATGGGCTCTCCTTGTGGACTGTTTTGGGGTGCTCCAGGCAGCTAACTCCAATCGCGTTAATAATCATGTTAATGACGTGCGCCATAACCTCAAAGTTGAGCTGGGATGGACGGAAGGGACATACAAGCAGATAGATGCCGAGGAAACAGTATCGGATATGGATGATTTACTAGGCAAATTCACAGGTACCAGGGCGTGGGTTAAGCTCAGCAACACTTTACCTTTATAGTGGTCGTTACACTACATATTTCTTTCTGGGTTTCGCTACCTGTGTCAGTTAGGACAGATGTTACATAGATCCTCTGTCATTTTCAGTCCTGTTGTCCCGAAACCGTCAAATATAGTTGCAGCACATACTCTTCTATTATGTAATATCGCCGTGAATTGTCCAGGTCAGTCGAATTTACATGCACGCTTCTTCGTTCTCCTCTTAGCTTTTAAGCGACCACGGTCACTCTCACTCATGCCATGAAACGCAGAGTTCACACTCCCCATTTTTTGGTTTCTTCATGTCATCAATATTGGTCTCTACGTATCTAGCATGGTGGGAGGTTTTGTTATGGATGGACTAGGAGGAAATTCCTCCTTCAAACAATGGCAGATTTCTATCCGATTCTCCCTCTTCAACTATTTGCTCCCTAAGCTCGTCAATGAGTTCATTCTTCTACTCACCAGTGCATCTATCCCATCCCGTCATTACTTATGAATCACCAAACTGAATCATCACACATCCATCAACTTCGCATTCAAGTGTGTACCATCACCGCCTCTTTGTCATTGCTTTCGTTCCTACTGTCACCATTCCTGTCTAAATCACTTTGATTGAACAACAGCTCCCTCCTTTTTTGTACATATAACTAACCTGTGTTAGATCAATGATCTGAATGGCGTCATTGATGGGCCGAGGCCGAACCCCACATTTGACCATATCCAAAGACTCGACTTTGGAAATGGCACTGGCACATTGCCAAAATCACGAACAGATCTCTGATGTTTTGTGGAGTTCATATACATTCCCCGTCAACCAGCAACTGTTACCTTGATACCATCGATTCCTGGATGCACGTTCCCTTTCTACTCGAATTCATACTGAAACCATGGAACACTCCGATCAATCATGTATGATCTTTCAATCACACTTCGGAAATGTAAGCGCTGGATGCTGGTATATCAAGCATGAATGCAATTGTTATACATCCGCCAAATTCCCCCGCTTGTTCACTCTCAATTTCTAATAGCATGACTCTAGTCTCGAACGATCCCAGTTGGTGGCCAGTCATCAATGCGGATATTATTTCCAGCTATTTTGTAGGTTCGTGGAGAGTCAGCCGCATGCTAATGTCGATGACTCCATTGACTTTGGCTGCGGTTTCACAGTTGCCGCCTGTGCTGCGATAATCTACGATTGGGGTGAGCAATATCAAGTATTTATGAAAAGACCACCCACATCATGGGATTTCTAGGACTTACGTTCGGACAAGAGGTAGGCCAGCACCATTGCAGGAGTAGCCATCTAGCTGAGAACAGTTTTATAGGTGGAACTGATCTGGGTGAGCGGACTCCTACATCAAAAGAACGGTGTGAAAGTATCACAACTATTTGCGGTAGAGACAATGTTGGTCCATAATGACCCTTTTGTATCTCGTTGTATGTATCCTGCGTTTTCAAGCGAGGCTAGCAAGTTGTACTGACGTGAACATATTCTAGGTACGATATGTTGCAATAGGATTTGTTGTGTACGTTTCGATGTCTAAGCCATTGGTGTTGTGCTCGTTACTCATCTCTCATAATCAGGATTAACACGTTGAGTATTTCTCCTCGCATGGGTTCTATCTATTTCTCGTCACGGGTGGCATACAGTGAGCACTCCAACAATTTCGACGACAGATATAGTGAGTATTTCAGTGATGCCTTTCATTCCTGTTCAAACAACTGAACTACCATGTAGGGGTGAGTGATATTCTCGGAACAACTTGTTGTTTCAATATAACGACTTTCACAGTTGTGAGTCTCCTTCCAGCGTGTGATCCTCCGAAGCTGATGACTAATTTTTCTGAATTTGCCAGGCCGTATTATCTACCAGGCAATGGATTGGACGGGCGAGGTTTTAGAATTAATGCTGGGTGGTGAGCAATGCACTCTGTGATATTGACTTGACTGAAACACTATGCAAGTCATCATGATTGCTCGGTTGCATGCCATGTATCAGCGATCCAGAAAGGTGCTGATATGTCTCGTTGTCACCTTTCTGGCCACCAGAATCGCCAATGCAGTGATGCTCGCAATGCAGATGATACATATTTCAGCGGGTAAGCTTTAATCGTGTATGAAATATCCAGGTGCATCAGGCTCACTGACAGATATCAGAGGAATTTGTTCTCTCGGGCACCTATCAGTGCATGATTAGTTTTGCGGGAGATTACATATTTCTGAGTTCCATCACTTGGATACTTGGCACTTTATGGGAGGTCCTCGCACTGTGTCTTGTGGTCTGGATTGCTGTAAAGCACTTCCATGAACTGCGACAATGCTCAACAAGAGGTATCACTGAAGACTGTTTCACGGTGTTGATGCAAACTCACGTTAGTTACTTTGCGAGGTGAGCTCATGATTTGAATGCGACCGTCTTTCTCTGCTCACATTCTGCACGTGCTAGCTTTTTTGCTATTGCCTGCTTCCGCATCGGTTCATTATCTCCAATGCTCTCAGCGGTATGCCAATCTGTCACCGACCTCTACACGTACCCATGATTCATCAATTCTATAGAACAAATTGTCCCTGGCCATTCAGATTTATTATGGTTTTGCTCTCGTCTTTGAGATGGCACAGTTATCTGTGTTGGGACCACGCCTCATCCTTGGCGTTCGGGAATATCATGCAAAACTCGTGGCCGACTCTGATGCAGCAACCGCTATGACTTCAATTGCTTTCCAGGAACACGACCATGTGGAAACTAGCAGCAGCGTTTAGTGCAGGACATTCTCGATATGATTGTTTTACGATGGGCGGGTAGTCTGCAGAGATTGGTTTTTATTTATTCCAGGTTTCGTTGCGGTACTGATGTAAGTTGTTTGGTGTTGCGAAATGGATCCATGTCACACAGGAACACTTGACGAACGATTTCTTTCAAACGCTGAGGTTCATGCACGCGATATTGATAGTGCTGTCATAATTGTAGCAGCTGGTGGAAGTTTGTTCGCTCCTAATGTCATTGCTGAAAGATGGCTGCTTCACGAAGCTTGTAGTATGAGGAGTACTCGACCACTCTAGTGGCGCCTGTACACCCATTCAGCACCCCCACTCTTCCTAGGGTTGCCCAGTGAGCACATTTAGCAGGACTTTGGCTCGTTGACCAGGCTACTTCATTGAGCCCAAGCGGATCTAGTGCTTCAGTGCGATTTTTTATTCACGAGTGCATCTATGCCATTCTGTCATTACTTATGGACCTCTGAACTCATACATTTGAACTTCTCAATCAAGTGTGCACCATCATTGACTCTTTTTCATCTCTTCATTCCGGTTGCCCTCATTCCTCTCCACACCACTTCCTTCTTTCTCTGTACAACCTTCCACTTTCCTTATACAACTATCCTTGTCACTATATGCGTTGATCGTGTTTTATGACAGGGAATCGGATACGACGTGTGTGTGTACTTTTGGCCGCATTTGTACTAACTGGAGCAGATTTCTCTCAAGGCCAAAACTTTGCTGACCTTGAGAGAAGCGTTTGTTACCAGGGCAATCTACTAATTGGACGCTGTTCGAAGCTCCATTTGAACAATGAAACGACATCATTGACGGGCTGAGGTGGGGTCTCTGCTGTAGCAAAGATACCTTCAATACCGTACTAGCACGTTGCCAAAATCATGATAGTTCGATCTTTTGGGGCGTTGAAACACTTCGCGTGAGTCACTGCTTTCCTATTTCATCAACAACTTCCACTTTGATCTCATCGGTATATTTCTGGATGACCATTTCCTTTCTGCAACCACGTTCAAATAGACTGAATTGCAATACACTAGTAAGCACAGACAGCCTGACTCACAGCTAACTTCCAAGTGTCGTTAGAAAAAAATGGATGGTTCGGGGTGAGTAACAAACAAACCGGTGAGAAGAATGATTAAAGAAAATTTGCTTGAAATTTTGAAGTCGAAGGAGTCGCATATATTCACTCATTCGCGAGTCGCTGGTATGAGCATGTATTTATCTACGACTCAGCACATGAATAGATCCTGCTTGCATTCAAAGAAATGTGCGTATCAGCAGGAATGCATTTCTTGTTGTGGTGTGTAACCACTGCCATCTACGTGAGCCACCATCATGCATCCCCGATTCCCCGGGCCGCCATCTATGGCAATGGTCATGCCAATCATCTCGTCATACTTTTCAGCTTGCCGTCGCCGTTCTGGTCACCTGGAGGGAGGACATAGCAGCCGTAGACTGGGAGCTGCAGACAAATGACATGGTGTTAGGTAAAGATCCTGATGATGGGTAGGTGGGATATAGTGCCATCGTGCGACGGCCTTGACAGACTTTTCGACAATTTCTGAATCCGAGAAACTCGCTGGTCAGGGAAGGACGATAGATCTCACACAATGGCTTCCCTGGACTAAACATTTAAGATTTCCTCAGCGCCACTTGGATACGATCGTCAACCCATGCCTCAACATTGTTGAGCTAAAAACAATCATATGTTGAAGGCTCAGCGCACGTTGATTTCTCTCACTTCATGGCACACAGCGCAAGGGCTACCTCAAGGGTGCGGGACTGGAAGCTGGAAGGCGCGGAAGCGCTAGGTGGATCGCTCTTTCTCAAGGCCACGAGGTTAACTAGGAATATATGGGGCGAGAGACCATGGGACACGAAGGGTTTCCTGCGAGGGATCAAACATTTGATTGTCCGACATCATCGATTCATCCAAGATACACAGCAACGTCCACTAACAGTAATGTCATGCATGTAGCACAGGCTAAACGGGGGTAACGATGTTTTGTGCCCTATAGGAGAACAAAAGAATACTATGATAATTAATTCAAGTTGCGCATTACAAAACACCATTTGTATGGTAAAATACCATGAAAAACATAAACTGATGGGCCTTAACAGTTTTTCATGGATTGATGCACACTGGGCTGAGTATAGATGGATCCGATTTAGTAGTACTATTAAATACCGTGACTACGGATTCATGTCAGGGTCATGTGAACATGTTGATGGGAATGCGTTGATGGGAACGCGTCTTCGACCAACCGCCACATCAATCCACATCTGAGATTTAATGATTGATGGTCCACAACATTTGCGCCACGCTGGTCGACCAGATATAAGGAAGGCAGTTGTTTCTGTTGTCTTCTTAACTCTTCCTCTTCACCAATTCTGCTGTAACACTCAATCAGCGTAATCGCTGAACACCTAGTGTCATGTCCCCTGCCGGCGAGACTGAGTCTACTCCTCCACGCACCAATGCACCAGCTTATGGTGCTAGCAAAATAGAATCAACCCCAAACAGCCGTGGGGCTTCTGTTGTCAGCGAGAACATTGGGGTGCTCAGTGTCAAGTGCGCACATTTCCTGTCTTTATTGAGTAGAACTTGACATTCCATCAAGAGTTAAGAACGTCAGCCCATGGATTCAACGAGATATCGAGCAGGTCAAGGAGTGCAAGGCAGATGCCATGCTGCAAGCCCTTCTTCAGCGCGCTTCTTCTGCTCCCGAGACCGAACAGCCCGAGCTTCTGCAAAAGTGTCTCAAGGTGGTTCTGCCTGTTTGCAATGGGCAGGCTTCTACTGCCCTCGTAAAGTCTTCTGACATTGAGACAGCCCTCAACGAATAGTGAGTGATTTTTTCCAAGTTCATTGATCAGATGTTCTGATGCTCAAAATAATTGCAAGCGTATGTCCAGGAGTGGAGAACAACTTCTACGGCCCTTTTATAAGAGCCACTAACGTCGCCCTCGCTTGTCTTGAAGAGATCAAGATTGATGGGATGCGTGCTCCTGTCCCTACCGTCGACATGATCTGCCAGCAGAACGATATGCCCATGCACCAGATGCACCAGACCAAGAAATCAATTCGGAAGCCCGACCTCATGATTCTTCCATTGAATAGCGCATGTGCTCCCTTCCAGGATGAGACGGGCAACAAGAAGGGCATACAGACCAACAAACAGAAGGGCGCACAAAAGAACAACGAGAAGGATGACGAGCAGCGCAAGAAGAAGCGCAAGGCTCATATGGACATGAATGCAACAGCTAAGCCGAAAAAACTCCCATGGAAAGATGTTCTGGCTTGCATCGAGTTCAAAAGAAAGATAGCTGGGAGGACGAAAGGGATTAAGTCACCATCCTCTACGTATGCAGTGACAGACCATGTCCCTACCAAACCAGAGTATCTGCCGGTGGATCATCTTAAGGCTGAAGTACCTGCGCCAGGCCCTTCGCATACCCCAGCAACACAACCTGCGTCTGACACTGCACGTAAGCAATTTCATTTTCGATTTCAAGATCAAACTAAATCAGCTCAGCAGCAGTTCGATCTTCCGGCCTTACTGCCGCCCAGCCTTTGCGGGGCGGGTCCAGCTCCAAACGCAAGGCCACAGACACTTTGGAATCTGCTGCGAAAAAATCCAAAGGGGACCACGACGACAAAGACGCTGACGCGGACGCGGATCTAGATGTGACCGTTCAGACGGGTCTGTATGCCGCCGAGATGTTTGCGGCCAATCTTGGAGTCAATTATTTGCTGAATATTATCGTCGTCAGTGAGTTCGTTCGTCTATCGAGATTCATCGCGCTTTTATCACAGCTTTTTCAGACGATGTAATGTGGATCTGGTATTATGATCGGCAAGGGATCGTTCAATGCTCGGGTATCAACTTCATTCAAGATCTCCCGCGATTTATGGTGCTGTTGTATGCTTTACAACACTTCGACCTTCACGATTGGGGCCGAAACAGAGACTTCCTCCTAATTGAAGTTGAGGGGAAACTATGCCACGAATTCAAAATCGATGACGAAAACCTTGGAGAGGTGGATTTGCTCCTTCATACCAGCCACGATGAAAGAGTGACGCACTACGGACTGCAAGGACAGGCGACCAATGTGGTCCCTGTCACCAGCGAAGCGCTCACGAAGAAATACGGCAAGTTCGAGGATGGGATGGTGGCCAAGATCTTTTGGGGAGAGGCGAGTCGCACTAGCGAGCCAGAGATCCTGAAAAGGGTTGAAGAGATCGCCAAGAGGCACGCAACTGTCCAAGACCATGTTCCTCAACTGCTTTGGCACCACACGTTCACGAATCCCACAGCCGCCATCCGAGAAGCACTCGGTGTTCCGGAACCCACTACTGGCAGTCGTGTGCTCTACATTCTTGTATTCCGCAAGCTCCTCCCCATCACTCAGCTTCACTGCAAAGAGCTTTTTGACGTCTGGCATCAGTGTATTTCATGTACGTGTTTCATTGAATTTACATGTCTCTTTGTTGACATCACATGCAGGCCACCTTACTCTGTGGAAGGAAGGCGTCCATCATCGAGATGTCAGTCCAGGAAATCTGATGTGGTACTGGAAAGACGACAAGCGGATAGGCGTTTTGAACGACTACGATCTATCCTCATTGGCGGATGACTCAGGTCCTCGGGGCAATGAGCGCACGGGCACGGTGCCGTTCATGGCCCTCAATCTCCTCACCGAAGAGGGTCAAAGAGGCGAAGTCAAACACCTATATCGTCATGATCTGGAATTGTTCATTTGGTGCTTCACCTGGATCTCCTTGCGTTACGAGAATGGGGTCCCTCTGTCATGGAAATTGCACCCCTTGGATGAATGGGCGACTTTTGGTGCTGTGGCATGTGGTGAGAAGAAGTACGTTTTTCAGGGCCGCATGAAGAAACTTCCCGCACCATCCCACATAGACTCGTCCCTATGGGTGTTCCTTGTGGATTGTCTCGGTATGCTTAACAGGCACCACTTCAATCGATGGGCAGCAGACACACTGACGAACTGCGAAGAATCAGATTCAGATATCGATG